AATTATACTATATATATATATATATATATATATATATATATATATATATATATATATATATATATATATATATATATATATATATATGAAAAGTTTTGAGTTTCATCTGGTTTAATTTTGTAAAAATTCTTTGAAGAATCTTTGGCTATCCAATTATTAATTAATTATTCAAAAAATAATCGATTTGCCAAATAATCGCTAGTTGCAGCCCTAGCTATGCCTTAAATCAAGTTTGTACTTTTGAGGTCTTAAACTTAAATGAACTTCTTTCTCTCTATTTTCAGAACAATATGAATCTTTTGTGAAATTCACGCAAGACCAGATCATGCGAAGATACGGAGCCCGGCCTGCAAGTTGTAAGGAGCATTTCCTTGACAGAGTTTGCAGTGCATCAATTTTCTTGAAGCTGGTGATCTAATGTGATTAATTTGATCTGTTTCAGATGTCTCCTGAGCTCACATCAATGTGATCCTGGCTTCCTCTCACATGATGGCTGCTCTTCTTCTGCCTCCTTCCTGTTGATTTCAATTTTATTTCCCTAGCCTCTCCCTCCCTTTCCCCTCTTCACGCTCATTTTGGGTGCCATTGTTTATCCAGTTTTTAATCCAAAATTAGTTTCTTACTTTAAAAACTATTGCTGCTGGCCAAATAATTAGAACTCTGTACGATGCCCGCTTTTATTTTCTTCTTCTTTTTGCTGTTAACATCCTTCCACCAGACATCCTGAAAAAGCAGATGTTTGTTTCAAAATAAAACATAACGATCTCTTGATGGCGCTGTAGAAAACGCTTATTGGCTTGTGTGATTATGCTGTATAACCTCCCAGCAGCTGTATTCAAAGGCTCCTGCTTTCTTACCATGTTTCACTTTTCTCTCCCTCTTTGACCTGCCTCACCTCAAAACACTTTTCCTGAGAATGTGGATTTTTCTCCCTTTTAAAGAAAAACAATAAAAGTTCGGTGATTAAAATTGGTCTAAATGGATTCTTTCTCTTATAATTACAAATTTTCTTTTAAACATTTTCATGTAAACTTGTTTAATTCTGCAATATTTTGCCTAAAAATTGTCTGAATGGATCTACAGGTAGGTTGTGCAGTAAATGTTCCCATTTGTTAAATCAGTTCAGCTTGATACAGGTCTGAGTTCAGAAGTTTCTAGTTTCTTTATTGTGGATGCTACATTTGAAATGTAGTCATTTTAAATTGACTGACACTTTCCTCCAGCCTAACCAAACCCAACTGAACCCCTTCACTTGTCCTCCAGTGGCAGTGCCCCTCTGTGTTTACTTTCATAGCCCACTTTGGAGGTTTTAAAAATTGGTCTGGAGTGGTCTAATCTCAGTGAAACGTAAAGATGGCAGCATAATGCTGTGGGGACATTTTTTTTATTTTGCAGCAGGAAACTCATCTGAATCGTCATAAAGGTTGTTGGTGCTGCATACAGGGGTATTCTTTAGCAAAACCTGTCAGTCTGCCTGCCTGTGAGTTGAAAATAAGGCGGAGATTTACCAACTAGAACAATCAGCGGAAACTTACTGCTACCAAAACACTTGAGGGTTGAAGAGGAAACAAATGTGAGTGGTACAGTCAAAGTCCAGACTTCCAGCCAAGAGAATCTGGTCAGACTTGAAGGGTGCCGTTTACAGGTTAAAACAAAAAAACATCTACGGTAATGTGAATAAAGGAGCTTATGGGGAAGTTTTGTCTTCAGGAATGGATCAACAATCCCACTGTCGGTATGTGATGAGCTCACTGAAGCCTACCTAAGTCTCTTACGGCTCTACAAGTAATGATGGGGTGGAACAGCTATGTCTACTAATTTATTTGTTCCTAAACACAATTGTATCATTTTAAAGTCATGGAATGTCCTCTATATTTGTATCGCTCAACTGATCAATTTTTATTCCATGTTGTTTCGAACAAGACGTCAATAATCCCAGGGGAAGGGCACTGTCTAAAGATATATAGAATAGGCTATGCATTAAAATATAAACTGGAGGATGACCTCAAGTGTTGTCTTTATGATTTGGTATAGTTTCGATAAATGACTGAAAAAACAAAATAAGGAATTGATGGGCCATGATATTGTTTCACCTGTGAATATAAAATTCCTGGCTGTCGGGACAATATGCTTTAAACTATGACTATTGCAGTTATTTTATCTCTCACATAGATTGGGCTTTTTAATGGCAACCAGGGGGATTCTTCAGTGTTGTGATTTGATAGAAATGTCCCCAGAGAAAAATGCTCCCCATGGAAACCTTGACTCTTGTTATTTTGCTTAGTTAAAAAAGGCTTAAAATATGACAACAAAACTAAACACTCTTGCAGTGACCCAAAGATTATTTTCTAGGTACATAACTTTACAGCCAGTGACTGCAGACAATGACATGGTATACAGTAAGAATTCAATGAAACCCTCCTGTAATATCCAAACGTTAACACCAAGTGGTTTTTTTTAATTGTTCATTCTTTCTGAAAACTATAAGCCCTCTTGGCGTTTTCAAATACCAACACTTCCTCTACAGAAGCACCATAGAGAGCGTTCTGACCAGCTGTCTCACTGTGTGGTGTGGAGGCTGCAGCGCCTCAGACTGGAAGAAGGTGAGAAGAGTAGTAAGAACAGCAGAGAAGATAATTGGAGCTTCTCTTCCCTCCATTAAAGACATTTCATCCCAGCCTTGCATCTCCTGAGCCCGTAACATCATCAATGACCCCTCACAACCCACCATGGACTGTTCTCCCTGCTGCTGTCTGGGAACAGGCTTTGCAGTATTGAATGCAGGTCCAGCAGATTCTGCAATAGGTTCTTCTCCCCACTGCCTTCAGAAACTGGAACTGTTGAAAAAAAAAAACTCTAAATCAAGTCACAAAACCTGCATCACACTGATGACACCAAACCAAAAATATTTGCATAGTTGCGACATATATTATCAATGCTCTGATCTTCAATATAAATTTGTTTTTTTGCACCATGTTTTTTCTCCCACACTGTACATTTTAACACTGCTGCATTGTATGGAATAGAAATTTTGATTTCTCTGCTAAGCTGCTGCTTATTTACCATTAAAAGCTGCACAAGACAAAATTTAGTTTTGTATAAGCTTTGTATACAAAATGATAAAAAAGCTGTCTAAGTCTTCTCTGCAGAGCTGTTTTTCCCCTTCAACCTTTTCAATGGGAAAACATTTAACAAATATTAAAACATGCGCAGAATAGATATTTTAATTATTTTCCTCATCTTTTCTAACTCGAAATATCATCTGTAAAGTTAAATTATTAAATGTTCACCATTTTGCCTTTGATTTTTCTTCAGTTTTCTAAAAGCAATTTTCTATCCCTAATTTATCAAAAACACCTTGTAAAAATACCTAGTGTTTAAAATATATAAATATTAAGCTTTTAAAAGTCATTCAGAAAGAATGCATAAAAGCCTAAGCAGCCATTTTTCATTTGCTCTTTAGTGCACCCATGTGGTCAATTTTGGTAGTTGCTGCACATTTAATACAATTAGTTATTTTTAATTATCAGTCTGCATGAGGGTCCGTAAACATAAAATGTACGAAAGTTTCAAAACACGGCACGGTCTATACCTGTGCACAAAGGCTACTTGTATTTACGCCCATGTTTTGTTCAGGGGCTGAACTAGATGTGTGGCCAGGGGTGGCCATGGCCACACTTACCCAATCTGTGGCCGCTCCGACCATTTTATCTCTATAATACCGATGGTGACAGCAGTAATGTTCTAACTTATTTAACGTTTAAATTTCATTTCTGTAAACAATTACCCAACAACAAAAACCATGTGGTTAATTATGCACACCAATATACTAACATTAAAGATAAATACAGAATTCATGCTCTTTTCAGAACTAGATTTTGTCTTTTATGGGGTAAAGAGGAAACTATGTCTCTGCAAGTCATCTAGGAATCTTCACTGAAATCAGAGATAAATAACTTCTTTATTAATAACTAATCCATTCAATGTAGATATTTGTAAATGTAAATAGAAATTTTATGCTGAATGATTATTAATAAAAGTAGGTTAGTAATGACAATGAATAAGATGTTCACGTCAGAACTCAAAACTGAAAAAATTGTATCCACTACACCTTTAATTTAGACAGCATGGATGTTTAAATCAGAGGCGTAACCAGAATATTTTTATAAGGGTGGCCAGGCACTAACCAATGTACACTGAGGAGTGGCCAAAAGTGGATAGGCATCAGAACATCAGGGTCAATCTACGCTGTTCCAACAGGAACAAGCACAACGTCCACATCTTTAAATAAAGACAAACTATAGTTTCCTACAGCCTTTGCTAACAAACAGATGCATGTATTTAAACATCCGTCTAGATAAAAGCTATATAGGGTAAAATTCTTTCAAGTATGAGTTTTGGAGCAAACATCTTTTCCATCGTCATTACTCACCTACTTTTATCAATATCATTCTGCATTAAATTGATATTTACAAGTACTAATATCTACATAAATAGATCATTTAATAGGTTTTTATTAGAATAGTTATTTACAGTATCTATGATTTCACTGAAGACTTATATGACTTGCAGAGTCACATAATTTTCTCTTTACGGCATATAACACAAAATCTAGCTCTGAAAGAGCACGACTTCTGTACTAATATCTCTAATGTTGGTATATTGATGTGCATAATTAGCCATTGTGTTATTGTTGTCAAGTGATTGTTAATATTTATAAAATTAAAATGTTTTGAATATTCTACTTGAGATGTTTTTATTTGTTAGCAAAAGCTGTAGGAAAGTATAGTTTGTCTTTATTTAGAAAATATGCATGTTGTGATTGCTCCTGTTGAAACAGTGTAGATTGACCCTGAGGTTTTTATTGGCCAACACTCAATGTACATTGGTTATTGCCTGGCCACCCTTTTTAAAATTTTATGGCTACGCCTCTGGTTTTGGACGGCCGCAAGTGACGTCACTGTACAGGTGTGGCAGTTGGTAACAGGTAAGCTGTAAGGTAAGCTGTCGTCGTCTGCTCAGCTCGGGTTAGTAAAGTCCTTTGACGATCTGCAAGCAGTGTGAGTCAAAGAGGAAGCAGACACCCGGCCGGCCATCACTGCTGAGTTGTTTGTTTTCAGGAAGGAAGAAAAAAAAAAAACAGTAAGCTGTAATTATCTCTGAGTGCTTTTTTTTTTTTTTTTAAATCAAGGGTAGTTTGAGGAAGACTATCGCTCCGTGGGGCGTCAAAGAGGTTTGTGGTTGTGTTTTTATTTCCAACCTGTGGATTAATGTGTTATTATTGTAACAGAGACCTTTCCTGTTCTCTTTTGGAGCCTCCTGTTCCCGCTCAAAGCTTCAGGTGAGCGGCTCCCTATTCTCCCTCTGAAGGCGCTTTAAACAAAATACTTTATATTCGGTTTAAAAAGCATTCGATTATCTTTTAATAACAACAACATAAGCGGAAGACCTCAGAAACAGGAAATGCCTCAATATGGTTGAAGCGACTGTGGGAAGCAGCTGTGACGACACAGTTTCACGTGCAGTAATGTATAAAACAGGATGTTTATCGTTTTTCCACTGCCTTTCTTTTTCACATGATTTACCATGGTGTTATTTGTTTACACTGAAATTCGTTTATTAATTTATTTCTAATTAAAGTTATGGTTAACCTTCTAATCTAATAGAATAATTAAATTTATTGCAATCTTTGTTTACTTTATGATTTTCCTAAATGAATTCAGGCCCTGAAAAGCTCACTAAAAGTTAATTGATCTTTATTATTTCACATTAAATGCTTTAAAGACCTCGTTTCTTATCTTGATGTAAAGTTTGTTACACTTAGCTGATTATTGATCCAAATAAATCTTGGTTTAGACACAAGAAATAAATAAATAGTACATTTTATATATATATATATATATATATATATATATATATATATATATATATATATATATATATATATATATATATATATATATATATATATTATTATTATTTATTTTTTTTTTTATTTTAGAGCTGTAAATTTACAGTCATTTTTACTATTTTTTTTCAAGGCTGCACTTTTAAAAAAGATGAAATTGTCCAGAGAGCTGTTCCAAACGAAATTTTTTTTTTTTTACACTTGTGTAAACAAAATGACAAACAAAATCGGTCTAATTCTGTAAGTCTAACTGTTTTATAATATATGTATATGATATCCTATTTTAGTTGAATTCTGTGAAACAGTGCTAAACCCTTCCAATGATATGGCTAGACTTAAAAAACTATCCCTCACAACATATTTGATCTAGTGTTATAACTTAAATGTAAAGGGATTCGTTGAAAATGAAAGAAGATATCTACTATAGCGGTGTTGTTTTGAAATGTATGTAAACATAACTGAAAAATGCTGCTGGCCACTTCCTCATGATGATGATTCTTAGCAGAGGAATCCTTGTTTACTTTATGATTATCCTAAAAGAATCCAGGCCTTGAAAAGCTTACTAAAAGTTAATTTATCTATATTATTTCACATTAGAAGCTTTAAAGATCTTGTTTTTTATTTTGATGTAGAGTTTGTTTCACTTTTCTGATTTTTGATGCAAATCAATCTTAGTTTAGACACAAGCAATTTTTAAAAAATGTATATTTGATTTCCAATTCCACTTATAATTCTGTGAAAAGGTGCCAAACCCTCCCACTGATATTGCAAGACTAAAAAAAACTATCCCTCAAAACGTATTTCATCTACTGTTACAACTAACTGTAAAGGGTTTTGTTGAAAATGAAAGAAGATATCTACTACAGCGTAGTTGTTTTGAAATGTATGTAAACATAGCTGAAAAATGCTGCTTCCCCACTTCCACATTCAATTCAATTTACTTTATTTATATAGCGCCAATTCAGAACACACGTCATCTCAAGGCACTTTACAGTTCACCAGATCATACAGTCAAATTGATTCAAAATTTTCTATTAGGAAAACCAGCTGATTGCATGCACTCATTGACTCGGATGCAATCCCTCACAATAAGCATGCTTGTAGCGACAGTGGAGAGGAAACACTACCTTTTAACAGGAGGAAACCTCCAGCAGAACCAGGCTCAGTGTGAGCGGCCATCTCCCGAAGCCGACTGGGGTTCAAGGAGACAGAAGCAGAGACACAAAAAGCAGCAGTAAAAGGTGGCCCCGTCAAGGGTTTCCTTGACACAGCCAGGCAGATGAGCTCTGAGCCAGCTCCCATGTCAGAGAAGGAAGAGAGCACATCCAGTCAGAGTCAGAGAAACAACATCTATAAACAAAGGTGTTGATGTTATTGTTGAATTATGACAATGATTCTTAGCAGAGATAGTCATGTTCCATTGTCTGTAGAAGGCTACTTTTATCCATAATTGGTTAATTTTTATAGCCTTTTCCACATCGACCTGTCAGCCACTATGTAAAAGCATATTAAGGTCTAGAATCTAGACCTTACTAAGCTAGACCCTAATAAATGAATCTAATGTGTACTGCAGTACATGTTAGATTTAATTTATTAGTCTGACGTCACATCCAGTAACTCCTGTCATCTCGAAACTGTGACAGTATAGAAAGTAAAAGAAAAAGTAAAAGAACTAGCATTGATTTATAGATAATTGTCAGGAATTGTTCAAAATACTCTTAAAGAAATAGGATCTGATATTTAGTTTTCAGCCTGGAGATGATTAACTGCTGTAATACCAGGGACACTAATTAATGTTTTTGCTTTTCCCATCCAAACTTATGGAACAGGCAATAATAAATAAATAAAAAAATGCTGGTAGAGTGAAGGAAAAAACTCAAATGAAATCTTTGTAGGAGACAACTTAAATGTGAAGTGAGTAACTTTTTTTAAAGATGTATGTTTTACACATTTGCCAAGACTGTTACTATGTAGACCTGGTGCTGCTGACCACCTGTAGAGGCACCAAATGCCTGTAAAATGATGCCACGTTTGTAAATAGAACTGCCAATATAACATTTAGAAACATTTACCTTAAAACACAAAACCTGGAATGCCAGTAAGCAACAAATGCTGTATTAATAAATTGTAACTTTTGAAATATCAGAAGTGTGTTTAAAAGTCTTATCACTTTAGTGAATACAATTCTATAGTGGTGTATATTAGTACTGACTTATTGCACATCCCTACTTCAGATTCAGTTTAGCTTTTCTTTCAAGTCTGACCAACTCTTTCCAAATTTAACCAAGCCCTATTTATTTAGTTATAACTACTGTATCCCATTAAACCAAGAAAACATGTGCTGCCAGATATTTGTTGGAGGTAGCAGTTGTTGAGAATCCAGCAGAAATGAACTCAATAAAAAACACACATCCCTAATGTTTTATCATCAAAATTTTTTTAAAGTGCATAAAAATACATGCTGTCAGTTGATGTTCTTTCCATTTATTTCTAAATAGGGGAATAACATTTTATTATGACATGTTAAAAAACAAGGGAAGGGCCTGTTTTATATCTGACTGATTGGTTGGTGTGTTAAGGTTTTTTTCTCCCCCACATTCCTTTTAGGTACCTGTAAAGTTAAAATGCCAATCTTTGTGTGCAAGCTACAATGTACTGAGGAAGCTCATTGGCTCCCACCCCTTGTTTAATGACCATGTATTAATAACATTTGCAACATGCCTTTCAGATCTTTGCAATAACAACTGCCGTTGTGATGGCGGACGAAGAACAAGGGGAGTCGCTGACCAGTGCGGAGAAGGAGCAGAAAAGGGAAACAAATTACAATCGTAATAGAAAAGAGATGGGATGCTTTGAGAAGTTCCAGGATACGATCTCCAGGTGGATGCTCCCAGAAGATCTTCAGAGCCAATACCTTAGCCAAGCCAACTGCTGTCCACCGCCGATATTCATCATTGCCGTCAGTATAGCAGAGGTAGGCTGTGTACAAATCTCCAACCTGGGAGATTCTTATGCAACTTCTGAATGTTAACATCTGTGCTGCTTCCCTACCAACCTTAGTTTGTCAACAAAAACAGTTTTCTTGTTAGATGATTATCAGGCATGAGTTTTTTGCATGAGTTCATAAACAGATTTCCTTTCTTTAAAGCTTTATATGCAGGAATTTAAGCCCTGTAGGTAAATAGTGTAAAACACTTATTTATTTATTAAAGTAGCAGAGCAGTGCAGCTCTGTGGTTTTGTTTTATTCTAGAAACCAATGTATTAAATGTTGAAAGGTAGATTTAATTTTCAGGGCCTCCTGGCCCGTCAGGGCCTTGGATACCTGGGATCTCTCCCAGGTCTTTCTAGGGGTGACTGGTTGCCGGCAGAGCCCATGAGCTTGCTGCTGCAGCCCTGTGGGGCCTCAGCACCATAAGATCTGTGGTCGGGCCCAGGGGCTCTCGTCTGCCCACAGACATAGGGACGGGTGCAGCCATCCCTATAGCCCCATTTACAGTACCATTTTGAAACCATGCCGCGATCAGTCCAAGCATAGTTACCGAGATAACTGTTGAGTGTAAATGGCACGCACAACTGAACCAGACCGCGCCAGACACAACTGAACCGGTAAACTGGTACTAGTTCATTAGTAGGGCTCGGCATGATTCAGTTTAGGCTCTGCTACTAACGCCTGTATAACACAGGTACCTGGTTCCAGGTAGCCATTGATACACAATAATACTAAATACAAAGCTGTAGCTTCAGATACACTGAGAAATAACATCCTGATATTTTTCAAGTTCTCCCAATTAGAAATCATAGAGGGCCTGAAAAGATCATCGTAGGTGCATATCCTCTTTGAGAGACGTAATGTAGGGGGGGAAAATTCAATTTTAAAAATAAAAAACTATTTGCATGATACAGCTGTAAATAAGTATTTGAACACCTGAGAAAATCAATGTCAATATTTGTTACAGTAGCCTTTGTTTGTTATTGTAGAGGTCAAACGTTTCCTGTAGTTTTTCACCAGGTTTGCACACACTGCAGGAGGGATTTTGGCCCACTCCTCCACAGAAATCTCTAGATCAGACAGGTTTCTGGACTGTCACTGAGAAACACAGAATTTGAGCTCCCTCCAAAGAATCTCTGTGCGGTTTAGGTCTAGAGACTGGCTAGGCAATGCCAGAACCTTGATATGATTCTTCCAGAGCCACTCCTTGGTTATCCTGGCTGTGTGCCCTGGGTCATTGTCATGATGGAAGACCAAGCCTTGACCCTTCTTCAATGCTCTGCATGAGGGTAGGAGGTTATTCCCCAAAATTTTGCAACGTCCGGCCTCGGTCATCTTCTCCTTAATACACTGGAGTCACCCTGTTCCAATGTGCAGAAAAGGAGGCGTACAATTTTGTCTCTAGTTTTATGTTTTAAGTTTTATGTTTTCTCTATGTAATTTTAAGTAAGAGTACTGCTACTTTAATATAGTATCACTCAAGCAAATTTAATTTATATGGTTTAAAACTACTCATCTTACACTTTTGTACTAAAGTAAAGGTAACTGAATAAATGCACAATGTTATTACCCATCAGTATTATTTCTGATTATGTGCATTATGTCTATAGATATAAATCTTGGCTTATTACACCATGTATTTGCTACATTTTCTAGAGCATTTGGTCTTAAAGTCACATATGATCTTATTTGAAACATCTCAGGAAATCTTCTGGAAGGTGATTCACAGATAATTAATATCCAGCCTCTAATGCTGTGTTTGCAATATGTCAAACTGGCTGTCTCTCAGCTTCTTTGCAAGCATTTAGATGTCCTTGAACACAGCATGGAGGTTTTTGGAATACCTTCAAAGGATGCCTATCTCAGCTAAGCAAACATCACCATCTCCCTCTATTTCCCTCTTGCTGCTGTGGTTTATGCAGCTGTTTTGCATTCAGTTTTGAACCTATTACATATTTTGGATTATTTTACAAGTAAATATTGAATGTCCACTTCTTCTTCTCTAGTTGGCAGTGTTTATCTACTATGCCGTGTGGAAGCCTCAAAAGCAGTGGGTGACCCTGGATGAAGGCATCTGGAAAAGTCCTCTCACCTACGATCCTGACAAAAGAGAGGAAGCATGGCGCTTCATTTCTTACATGTTCGTTCACGCTGGGTGAGGACAGACACAAGCTTCAGTCATGAGAGAGAAAGTGGAAAATAACACTGAATGTTTTAGCTTTGGAATAAAGCTGAATATGTTTTTTTTAACCGTCAAAGCTTCTGTTTAATCTCTCTAATACCTATTCAGATTCAACTAGCTAAATTAGAACTGTAGAACTGGTGCTTGTGCACATCAGATAAAGTGGCCTCCCACATAGATGTATAGAAACCAGAGTTTCACATCCAGAGAGCCCAAGCAACACAGAAAAACCAAACACCATGCACAAACAGGAAAATGCATTAGTGAAGAAAGAACAGGAGTGACATTTATTCCCAGAAAAACATTAGTAACATGTTTTATTTAAGGATATCCGTACTATTGATAAGCGGGTGATTTTTACTTAGCAGAAGACTGCTAATGATACCAAAAGCAAGATAGTTTTTTATGTTTTATTTTGACATTACAGCATAAGCTTTTTGTTTTAAATATACATTTAAAGTGCAAAAAAAACTACAAAAATAAAAGCTAAAAGCAAAATATATCACCAAATACAGAAGGGGAAATTCAACATAAACTTTTACGTAGTTATACAAGAGGGAGAAACAAATACAATGCAAAAGTTTAAACTGGCAGCTTCTGACGCCACCTTTATTAATAGCTGAGTATTAAATTATTTCAGTACGCTGTTATACAAACTGCAAACTGACCACTTAAAAAATGTCAAACGTCATTGATGTTCCATAAAAAGACATAAGGAAATATTTATATAAGAGGTTCGCTATTTTTAAGAGTGCAAAAAATGGATCCAGTCATGTTCATCACAAGTCTATTTGTTTTTAACTGTTTGACTATTGCAGTGACTATAAATATGGGCCAGTTTAGTTTAGGTGCTAAGGTCCAACTTTTGAAGATCATCGAAGATCTACTGTAGTACTATGGGATGTTGGTTAGTCCTTTTCAAGACTGCATAACATAACATCACCTATGTTTGATATCAGAATTGTATCCTGGGGAAAAAGGAAGTAAAATTTGACTAAATAGTTGTTCCCTGATTTTAGGATCAGCTTGAATAGAAAAGTATAAATTCTGAGTTAAGTATAAGTTCCTCAGATGCGTTTTATTTTCAGGAATTGTTAAGGAGGACATTAATTGTGATGCCATGTTCTCTTTTCAAGTTAAAGGTTTATTTATTAGCGTTTTTTCCCAATGGGAGATTAGAATACAATAAAAAAAAAAAAAAGGAATTTATTTTGTGATTTTGTACACATTTTAACAGTATTATCCAAAAATCTAGGAAGCTTTAATTCTTAAATTCAGAATATGCCAAAATTCAGTGTTTAATCCGGATGGAGATTATTTGTTCAGCGTTAATTTAACCCCACATTTGTTTTTCCAGTGTGGAGCACATTGTGGGTAACCTACTGATGCAGCTTCTACTGGGTATCCCACTGGAATTGGTCCATAAAGGAATTGAAGTGGGTGTAGTTTACATGGCTGGTGTCGTTGCTGGTGAGCATAGCCTTTCTCTAACCTCTCTTCACAAACAATAGAAGGAGAAACCAAACTGAATTAAACCATTTAGTGTTTTTGATAAACACCTGACCTGAACTTGCCTCGAAGTCTGTTTTTCCTGTTTGTGTTGGAGCCATACTTCCTGCAGATAATTTATCTGTCTGTGTTTCACCTCAGGCTCTTTGGCTAGCTCCATCTTTGATCCTCTCAGTGCCTTGGTTGGGGCTTCCGGAGGCGTCTATGCCCTAATCGGAGGTTATTTCATGAATGCTGTAGTGGTAAGCTGAGAAACCACCTGACAATAAAAAAATTAGTTTGCATTTTTTTGATGAGGAAATTGTTAAAGGCTGTGGGGAATATATTTGAATCTGCTTTTTGTAAAATGTCCATATAGTAATTCATTGGAGTGTCAACAAATGCAAGTTACAACTGTAAGACTGTAAAATCAAAACAAGATGTAATGTTCTGACTGATCTGTTATTTACTGAAGCAGACTTATGTCTGCTGACATATGATACAGGAACAGAATAGAAAATGTTTATTTTGGCCTTATTCCAGAGCCTCTATATTCAATAAAGTAAAAAAAGGGATGATGGCTACATTTATCTCATATCATCTCCAATCAGTGTGCATACATTGCCTTGCTGAAGTATTCATCCCCCTTGAACTTGTCAACCTTTTGCCACAAGTGGTTGTCCATAGGCCAACAACAAATGGGACACAATCATCAAGTGGAATGAAATTTATTGCACATTTTAAAATTTTTGACAAATAAAAAAACTGAAAAATTGGGTGTGCAAAAATTATTCAGTCCCCTTGAGGCCACCTTTTGCTGTGATTACAGCTGCAAGTTATTTGGGGTATCTCTCTCAGTTTCACACATGAAGGAACTGAAATATTTGCCCATTCTTCCTGCAAAACGGCTGGAGCTCAGGGAGGTTGGATGGAGAGCGTTTGTGTACAGCAGCTTTTAGTTCTTTCCAAAGATTCTCGATTGGATTCAGGTCTGGACTTTGACTTTGCTATTCAACACCTGGATATGTTAAGTTATGAACCGTTCCATTGTAGATTTAGCTTAATATTTTGGGTCATTGCCTTGTTGGAAGATAAATCTTTGTCCCCATCAGGCTCGGACTGGTAATCTGTGATCCCAGGCATTTGCCTGGTGGGCTGGTCCTAATTTCAGCGTGCGAGGGCCGGCCCTCCTTTAATCATACCGGCCCCAATGCTTACTCTCCAGCCTACGCTCCTACCTGTGACAGTAAATAACTCAAGGAGCTCAAGAAGTAATACAAAGTTAGCTTGCCAAATGATGCATGCAGTATATTTAGCCTTTCCTTGTCATGCAAATCCTTGTGACAGTTGGCATATGGTGTCATTTTCTGTTTAACTGTAAAATCCTATTTCTTCAAACTGTAAAATCCTTGCTACCACCTAAAGTATAATAAAACTAAAATGCTTTCTTTAAACCAAACTACGATGTTTCTCTTATATTTGGCAAATTTATTTTAGAATATTTTGCCAAAATATGTTGCGGTGCAGGATGCATCTAAAGGCTAATGTTTCCGGTCTTACGCGCATTGTTGATAGGTTGGGATGTTTCCCAATCTGGCAGTTTAGGATATCTGGCAGTTTAGGATGGCTCTTTTTCTTTAGGTTTATGGCTTAAGAGATGAATAGACTTTTGTTCAAATTGGGCGAGATTTTTTAAATCCAGGCAGTTTATGAACATTTTATGGGCTGGAAAACATGAGTCAGTGACATCTGAGACCCTTCTTCACAACAAATTGAAATATTCTCTCTTTATATTTGAAGCCTGGCCAGCTCCCTCTGGCATGGGAGCTGGCTCGGAGCTCGTCTGCCTGGCTGTGTGTTTCCTGGACGGGGCCGCCTTTTACAGCTGCTTTTTGTGTCTCTGCTTCTGTCTCCTTGAACCCCAGTCGGCCTCGGCAGATGGCCGCTCACACTGAGCCTGGTTCTGCTGGAGGTTTCTTCCTGTTAAAAGCGAGTTTTTCCTTTCCACTGTCGCTACAAGCATGCTTAGTGTGAGGGATTGCATTCGAATCAATGAGTCAATGCAATCAACTGGTTTTCCTTAGATAGAAAACTTTGTATCAATTTGACTGTATGATCTGGTTGAACTGTAAAGTGCCTTGGGATGACATGTGTTGTGAATTTGGCGCTATATAAACTGAATTGAATTGAAATGTGGCAAAAGGTCAAAAGGTTCAACGGGGCTAAATACTTCTGCAATGCACTATACAATCGAAAGAATGCAGACTGTTGTCATCCAGCAGTACGGGGATCCTAAACATACAGCCAGAGTCGCAATAAAATGGCTTATTTTGAAGTATATCAATGCGTTAGAATGACCTAGTCCAAATCCAGATATAAATCCAATGCGGAATCAAAGGCAGGTTTAAGAAAAGTGGCGTTATCAGACACTCTGCATTCAGTTTATCTGAGCTTAAGATGATTGGGCAATGCTGGTAGAGCTATACTCTGACACTAACAGTAAAGCTGTGATTACAGAAAATGGTGGTTTTACTTACGGTAATATTCACTCATGGGGGCTGAAGACACACGCAGGCCCCCCATTGGTGATTAATGTAAAAAAGTCCAAGTTATGTGACTTTTTTTTAAAGGTACTGTATATTTTACTAACAAAAAACCGGATCTGTTCTATTCCACAGAATTTCCGAAAGATGATTCCTCTTCTAGGAGTGTTTCGAATCCTAGTCATCGTTCTAATTGGTGGGTCCCTATGAGTGTTTTTCCTTAATCTCTGTAAGTGGAAATTATTTCTTGCAAAACTCTTAACACAGATTTTTGTGTTTAGTTGGCACAGATTTTGGCTTTGCCTTTTACAGAAGATTCGTCAGTCATGAGGGAGGTTTACAGGTAGGAGGTCCACAGTGTAAAGAACAACAAACTGCATTTATCGGTGCTTCCTTAAGGTGCATTAATTTTGAACGAGGTGTAGGAAGTATTTTCCCAGAGGATTTCAACGCTATGCATTTCAGATGCACTATTTTTCACTTCCAGCCGCATCATCAAATCGTAGGAGCTTGCTTTGATGTCAATTTTTCATCCCCAACCCTGGTCAAAACACTGAGCAGTTAGACTAATTGGTTAGTGCTTCGTTAGTGCACGTTTTTGCAGTTAAACTGATAATTTTGCTACTTTTATCGCATAAATATGAAAGATAAATTTTTAGGTGATCCATTGGTCAACTGCACCTCCATTGAGCTGTGGGTTGAACCAAAGTGGGCTACTTCTTTCCTGCTTCTTTATGCATATTTGTACAGTTGAAACTGTTGTTTGCGCTGCTCTGAGCAGAGAGCACTAGTGCTGGGAAGAGGCAGCGGCTGGCTGGGGTCTGCAATGGAGGTAAGGGAGGGCGAAGGGCTTAATCAAAATTGTTTTCTTGAAAGCCTCCTAAAAATCTCTTAATTCCTTATTTTATCCTTTGTTAGAATTATATTCTCTATATTCTATTCTGACTGTAAAAAAAAAAAAAAAAAAAAAAAAAGATTGTCTTGGCTGCACTTCTTTAACGTACATCACAATCAAAACTAGTCCCCAATTGTATGCCTTGACAGGATTTCACAGAAAAGTTCAGAGTTTTCCAATTCAACAGTCACTATCCCGATGCAAACCATGCAGGTGAAAGCGGGTAAGCAGCCAGCAGAAAATTTCATGTATTGCGAGCGGTCACCGTTCCACTCATGTGCTGCTTGAGAGAACAGAACAAATAGCAGCACCAGGTGGAGAGAGTAGAGTGGTGACCGCTCTCAACATGTGCAATTCACCACTGGCTGCTTACCTGCTTTTACCTGCATGGTTTGCTTTGGGATATTCTGTTAATCTACCAACCTCCCTGCAGACTCTTTGTTCAATGTGAATGCACCTTTTAAAACAAATTTAATCATGTATGATTCTGAATGTTTTCATGACAGTCTGTCTGTTTAAACAGCCTTTGATAGTTTGAACTTAGTTATTCCACATATGGCTGTCCATACAGTCCCATTCTTAGAATAATTAAGTGTCCTTCTTGGTTTTCTTTCTTCTTCTTTAGCCAACCCAGCAAATGTTTGTTAAAGTTGATTGGATTCAGATAACAGCTGGTAAATCAGAAGGTAAAACCTGATTTCAACATGTCCTTTTCAGGTGTCGTTTGTGGCTCATTTTGGAGGTATTGTTGCTGGGATGACCATCGGGTACGTTTTCTTCAGCGATTACGGCAAGGAGCTGCTACGGGACCCACGTTTCTGGATTTGTATAGTGGGATATGCTGTCTTCTTCATCTTTGCTGTGCTCTTCAATATCTTCATTTCTCCTGCATCATAAGACGGGAAATGATTTCAAAGTTTTGCTCAGGAAGGTTTTTGAGCAAAGTCTTAGTAAATGTTAAACAAAGTCTTTGTACTCATATGTTTTCTAGTTTTAAAACATGTTTTAACTTGTTTTTCTCTGTTGATTGTTTTCTGGATCCTACCCTCTAAGAGAAGAAAACCCATCTTGAACATATTCAACTTTTTAATCATTTATTTCAATACAAAACACTTTTAAAGACGTGATTTTCATTTTCAAACGGTTGTTTCTTCGATAGCAAATAATGTTAATTTTATCAACATCGACTCTCACATCCAGTATTACGACAACATCAGTAAATGTGATTTATTCCATACACAAGTCCATTTTTTTAGACGTTTTTTAATCAAACACTAAGAACAGGTAATTAAGGATGAAGAAAGAAATTGTTTTACCTGTATTTACCTTGTATTTTTTTGTTTTGTTTACATGTTATTGTTTTATCATGAAGCCTAAGCTCTGCCTCATTTCTTCTGTTGCATCCTGTTAAAGGAACAATTAAATGTTCAGTAAGACATAAAACAGATGTTTAACACCAGCTTTTTTAACCTCTGTCATTATGATTCTTATTTTTACCCAAAGGCAGCTGTATGAACACACCTCAAGGTTAATTTCTGCTCTTTATTGAAATGTTTCCTGTGAAGATAATGATTGAATATGGCTTAAGCACAGAGGGGAATGCTTGTAGTTTGTTTTTTTAATTACCGTTTTAGAAGACGTACCTATGATCTAGCTCACACAAAGGTTGCAAATATAGACCAAATATGACTTCCTGTATAGTTTTAAATTTTCATAAGATATTTAAAGACATACTGTTTTGTGGAGTGTGTTCTGCCAAGATAACAGCACCTCTTAAAGAAATAAGGCAAGGCAAGGCAAATTTATTTGTATAGCACAATTCAGTAAAAAGACAATGCAAAGTGCTTTACATGATTAAAATATAGGAAAATAAAACAGAATCAAAGCAAGTAGGAAAAAAATGCAGAAACAAAAAAGAATATTAAAAAGAGAAAATAAAAAAGTTGAACTAATGATGTTTCAGTTGAACTATTTAACTAGAACAGTCGAAGGCAATCCTAAAACAAGGGAAGTATTACATAGTTTTTCCTTTGATGTTGAGATTTATCTGATTAATGTATAGACAGGAAGTAATGCAAGCAGGTTTTTTTTCACAGAATATTCATTAAGTTATCAGTTATTAAAAACTGGCAAAATTAGACTGAATAAAAGTTCGATTTAGGAGACTAAAGAAAGTAGAGAAGGGTATAAAAATAGACCATTTTGATCATCATGTCATTCTGCAAATGATCAGGAAGTGAGATGACAAGATACAAATTGCATTGTATTTTTCAGAATAGTTTATTAGGGGTCACAAAATGTAGGTTTGGAGTAATAGTTTGATGATTTAAATGAAACTGATAGAAACAGGTTTTTCATATACAGCTATTGAGCTCAGGAAACCTGACTTAAATCATTTTTGTTCTGTGACATGATGATTTATTCAAACTGGAAGTAGCCATTGTCCTCACACATCTACTAGACATTTTTATCCACACTGCTGCTACTCGGAATGTTCTAATGGCCAGACATGTCCTTTTCAGGCCTTTATTTCTGTTTTTAAATGTCAATCTATTTAATTCTAACATTCTGACTGCTGTCTTTATATTTTAAAAATTAGAAATTACTCCTTGTGAAATCCAAGAGATGATTTTGTGCAAGAAACCCAGCAGATAATATTTCTTCAGTGTGTAGACAATCCCATCCGATGCAAACTACCAAGCTCACATTAAACAAAAACTAAATCTCGTTTCTTCCAGATCAGGGTGAATTAAAACATTTCCAATCATTTTGAATAATCTCAAGGAGCCACATTCTCAAAGTATGTCATCTTCAAGAAAAAGTGTGCATGTGCATACATGCAGTATGCTGTTCTTGGTTGTTTTTGATTTCGGTTTCTGTTTTTACATTGTTGGTTGGAGCAATGTCTCCTAAAGTCCTTCTGCTTTTTTAAGGAGATAAATGGAGTAAAGTATAGGGACTCAACCATGAAAGGAGAAAACAGGGTGATTTTCTGTAATAATTGTGTTGATGCAGCTCCAGTGGCCTGTTTCCTGAATTCTCCTCAATTTGAGATTTTGCGGATATCCTGGCCTAATTAGGCCTCAACTAGGTTCCAGGAAACAGTAACTGAGTAACACAACTTACTCTGGTCATGTATTCTGGGCAGCTAGCCTGCTCCCAACCAGGCTTACTGCCAGGTTTATTCCATCCTTGTGTCTTATCTGCTCAATCAGCAATGGCACCAACCAGAAACCATAGTTTTTTGTCAGTTATTCCGTAACCTTATCTGTATGATGTGATTTTTTTTATTATTAGCCTACAATAACAACCACTATATACAGTATATATAGTAACTTGTGATTTTCTGTGAGTGTGGAAAAGTTTCAGCAAACCAGCAGAACTTGCATTTGAATTCAGGTGTTTCTGTCTTCACTACTTCGCAGTTACACCTGCTGCCAAATCCCAGCAAGTCTGCACTGATGCAGACTCGCTGTTTAAGGGCTGAATGGTCATTCGCCCTACTGAGGACGTGGTTTGGAATGACCCTTAATGTGGTGCACCCTCCGCAAGAATGTGCAAATGGAGGTGTAGTGTTTTTAGGGCCGATTTAGGATGCAGCCAAAGTCACCATTTGCATCAAAAGGATAATAAAAACATCTTCATAACCTTCCACAGCCACAGAAGACCGAGCTACATGAAGGAGAGATTCTACAATATAGCATCAATTAGGCCAATGATTCCAAAGTTAAGGTTGTAATTCTATTTGGGGTCCTTGATAAACCAGGATGGGGTATTGGAGAGCCACCATAAAATTAAACTAAACAATAAATATCTATCTTAAAGTTTTTAAAAATGTAAAAGTTTAATTGATTGTTCAAACATTTGTACTGTCAACCAGTTATTTTGGTCACAAGTCAACTCTGATACCATATGAGGCTTAAAAGCTGGGGAACCACTTAACTAGGCCAAGCATCACAAAAGAAACTTTGAAACAGGTGGGTTAGGTTTTTTTTTATTTTTTTTTTTATTTCTTGTGATAAAGGAATTCTCTAAGGTTATAGGTATGCTGGACTGCAAACTCGTGAATGTATAAAGCTGTTCTGGAGCACATGAAGTGGATTTTGTTAACAGAAAATCTCAGTGTTCAGCTAAGAGTAAGTTTTGGTTAGACATGTGATACTCATTGTATTTATTATGTGAATTACATGGTCTAAACACATTCTACTGCATATGAACCTTCTTCTCCCCGGATCCCTTCCAGAAGAGAGCTCTTTAGCATGTTTTTTTTTTCTTTGTTAAAGTTAAGAACCATGTTTTCTGCTGGCATGAATTCTGGGAATAACAGAATGTTGAAACAAAAAAAATGAATAGATCACATATGCTGTTTAATAAAGTTTTAATGCTAGATGGAGAATTGAGCCTCCTGGATTGAAGGCAAAGACCTGAGCCACTACATAACAGAGAGACCCAAACTATGGTGTTTTCAGTTCAGAGGATTTGTTTGGACATTTTTCTTTTAAGTATTCACTATAGTTTGCTAAATCAATCTGTGATCGCCTTCATTGTCTCTTAAAGGAAGCTGAAGAACTGCATTTAGATAACTTACTTAAAACTGGCATGATGTAGTCTCACTAATTAGCCTGACTTGGCCTCTGTGGAACGGATGAAGCCAGGATGCCCTGATGACATCAGGTCCCGCTTTATCTCTTATCCTGGAAATTTACTTATGGGAAGTTGCCATCAGGATGGTATCACAGATAAATACAGGTACCTGGCCGGGTGTGAAATCCATCAGCTATTCTGCAGCAAAGGGTTCAGTCAAATAGTTCCTGATAATGTTTTTAACAAGACTACGCCCAAAGGCTCTAGCTTGGCAAAAAAAAGCTCCTTTCATGTATTCTTCTCTCCGGCTTCGGCCCGCTACTACAGGTAGAGTGAGGGCAAAAAGATAAGGGCCATACCCGGCTGACGATGTTTGTTGAACAACTACTCATCTAAATCACCGCTAAGCCTAGTAGCTGAGTTTTAATAATTCCCCAAAACACAACTTGAAAGTTAATTCCTCAGTGGATACGATGGTTTTGAAATTCGTCTTACATCTAACTTGCCATCAAAATTAACTTAAGTTGTTCATTTTTAATAAAAACCAAAAAAAGATCAGAAACAAAATCGTTGACATCTACAGTATTAGTCTGAAAGGATAAAGCAGGGTTTGGGACCTCCATGGAAAAACATACTGTAGAGCCATTGTGACACATGTGTCTGGAAGTCCTTCATACATCAGGTAAGGTCAGTGGCATGATTTAACAAAAAGGAAGACTTGTCAAATATGCTTTCCAGGGAGGTTTCCAAGAACAAAAGTTCCCGTAGTAACTGCGATGACCCTAACCCTCCCAGGAGCTGTTGACAATAATTATGTTGAATGTCAAAAGTTTCATTTTCCAGAAGGTGTGTGTCCTTTTACAGCAACAGGAAAACTAACAGCATATTGGAAAAACATGTACATAGGAACTATTGTAACGGTCTGGATCTGCTCTTCTTTCTCAGGACCTGGACAGCTTGCTTTAACTGGGACGAGTGAATTCTCTCAGCGCAATAAAAAGCATAATATCTGGTTACCATGTTTGCAGTTAAGATAATTTCATTTGGATAATGGGGTTTGTGACATATTAGTGCATCAAGAAATCTTCCTTTGAAAAGCTGACATATATAAAATAAAGTCATAGTAATGGCCTAATCCATATGAAGTAAAAGGCTAACTCTGATTTGTGCAAATTTTAGGTTCTACCTCCTGATCCTTCCCTTTAAATCGGGTGAAGAGTAAGAACTCTATCTTGGGTGAAAAAGGCACACAGATAATGTGAATCAAAACCAGGACTGCAGCTTTCCAAAGAAAGCTGGGGGAAATAAGAAAACTACACAAATTTAGCGAACAGCTGAAGCTCTCCATTCTTAAACCCAAAGCATATGAAAGTGAAGACAATTACATGAGTCATACACGGTATATGAGACGAAATTGCCTGACAGACCTATGCTAAATGGAGTCTAGGTGGATGTTCAACTGAAGAAACTCATTGTTTTTTCATACATCCATCTGCGATACAGCCAATCAGCTTTTAACCACACCTCTACGAAAGCCAATCGGCATCCAAAGTTCATCTTAAAAGGCCTCAATTATGCATCTGTCTAGTCCTGTGCGTGGACGGCGGATGCGCTGTGTGACTTAATTCAGATAACACCGTTTCAACCCACCTCCAGCCCTTCCGCCACCTTTCTTCCCAACAGGGAGTTTTTCCTCTCCACTCTCGCTTCATGCTTGCTCATCATGGACAGGTTCTCTCAACCTGTGTTATCCAAACTGGACTGCCACCTTCCAGGTACCTGAGTTAAGCTCTAGTATCAGCTCATGCAATCCACTGGATCTCCCCATAAAGCTCAGCAGACCGTCTTGCTAATCAGCAGTCTACAGACTGACCAACTTCATCTATCTCCACTCCACCACCAGATTCAGGCCTGGGGGGGAAACAGCCCTATTCTTTGATCCTGTTCATGCATATCTACCAAAATTAAGTGCTATGTTTCCTGCTGAGCTCTGAGAGCCAACGACAAAGTAATTGTATCAAAACATTTCTCCTAATTGTCTTTTCTCTTCGTGTGAGTTTTTCAGATTGAAATGAGTTATGATAGGAAGCATCCTGCTTCCTTTCCCTACCTCCTTCCAGCACTATTTGGACTGACGACTGCTGGCAAACTTCCACTTCAGTGTTCTTGTTGATTTGGCCTATTAGGATTAAGCCAAAGACTTGAGAAACCAAATGGGTTAGTGTGGAGTTTGCATTAACAGTGAGTTAAAGACTGAAAACCATCCAGTGTGGCCAAATTACACCAATTCATCAAAGAGCAGCATTTAATTGCAGCCATTGCTTCTAAGGATGGCCACAAAAAATTAGTAGGTTTGGAAGGCAATTACAGTATCACTGCACATTTGTCCAAGGGTTGGATGAGTTTTCAGTTAGTAACTGAAACCGTTATTTAAAAACTTTGTGTCATATTGATGTATTTATGGAAAAAATGTAAAAACAAAAAGACGTTTATTTTAGATCTGTATGGGGACAAACAGCTTTGTAAAGAAATAAATAAAGTATATGCACAGGCATATGGAGCTCTGAAGCCAAAAGTTGAAGGTCCATTGTAACAGATTTCTCCTTAATGGGAAAATATATTTTGCTCTGGAGGTTAATTATTCTCGGAAAGATTCACCCGAGCATGAAATCAGACATGATGACTCATTGATTACTTCTCCACAGTTGAAAGCTATTGACTGAACGTGTGCTGTGCAGATTACTGATCTGTATTGATCATGTGAGAACTTTATGTAGACACAATTTTTTTTCTTTTTGATGTAAAACAAACAGAGGAAAGAAATTCTCCAATAGTACAACTGTTAATAAAAATGTGACATAAAATCTTTGGTTAGATCGTTTTCTCACTTACTATCCTTTAAAAAGCCAAATACACTGGAAAAACTATCTAGAAATAAGTAAAAATCCCTTAAATAAGTGTATTTACCCTTAATTTGAGTAGGTAAATGTGACGGTTTGCCAATGGAATTAGTATTTTTACTCTTAAAATAAGATAATTAGATAAAATCCACATGAAATGAGACAATGCAATTGTGTTTTCTTATTTTAAATGTAAATTGTCTTGTTCCACAGGCAAAATGTATGTTTTACCTCCTCAATCCAAGAACAAATGCACTTATTTTAAGAAAAAAAAATTCAAAATTTTTTTTTCCAGTTGTAGATTTGGAATAAATTTAAGCATATTTTGAGATTATAAAAATGTGCATTATCATTCATATATTAAATAAAGATAAGAGTATTTTATTTTCTTGTAAAATAACTGTTAGGTCACATTATGTTCCTTGTCTCACAACCTTTATACTTTACTCAATAATACTATGTTTTTATTATAGGTTGTATTGTAAACATATAGCTGCAGTTTTATTTGATTTAAACTTGGTGTTTAGAGATTGAAAAATGCTAACATGTAAAATATGCTCCCAATAAAAAAAAATAAAAAAATCCTATTCAGTTAATTATGTACCAGTTAGAAAAAGGCTTTCATTAAATAGAGGCCTTATTACAATTAAACATGTACCCTTATATAAAACCATATATTTATAGTAATTTTTGCATTTACTTTCTGGGGTTATTTTTATAAAATACTGTTAGTAGGAACAACCTAAAATACACATCAGTGATTTTGCATCCAGGTTCATATAGAAGTAGTGGTGAATGGATAGCTATATTTATATATAATACCCAACCACTGTACAGCTAGACCAATGTAAGGTCAAGACCTAAATGCATTAGTGAAGCTGGGAGTATTGAAGTTGATTGGTTGTGTGAACAGTGTCCTTTCACAGCTCTGCTGTGTTCGTGTCTTTCTTTACTGGAGCAAGTAACAGTTTTGTTAATGTTCAGGCGTTGTGAAGAACACTAAAGATTTTTTAAAACCTTTTTACCGGTTAATTTGGAGCTACATGACAAGGGAGGGTCTAAATCACCATCGGCAGGCCTTCCATGCTGCTCTAAGGTATAGAACACTGCTAAGCTGTTACTCTTATTGGGAAGTTTATTTTATTTTAAAAGACAAAAATTAACCAATGCATGACAACTCCCTCTACCATGCTTAACATATGTCTGCTCTCTTTTTGGGACTTTCTTTTTAGTCATAATGGCAGAGTGAAGATGGTAAACTTGAATATCCTTGGAGGAATTTTGGAGGAGATCAATATCCATTCCACTCCGGTGGGTAAAATCTGGCTCACTATCCTTTTCATCTGCCGCATGCTGGTTATCGGAGTGGCGGCAGAAGATGTTTGGATTGATGAACAGGCTGAGTTCATCTGCAACACTCATCAGCCTGGATGCAGGAATGTGTGTTATGACCTTGCTTTTCCAATCTCCCCAATCCGTTACTGGGTACTGCAGGTCATCTCTGTGTCTTCCCCTTCCCTGGTTTACATGGGCCATGCTCTATATAGGCTGCGGGCCCTGGAGAAGGTCCGACAGAAGAGGAAAGCTCTGCTGTGGAGAGAGCTGGAGGCTGCTGATGTGGAGCCAGCAGTAGCCAGGAAGAGAATAGAGATGGATATGAAACCATTTTATCAGGAACAGCTTGATAAATCTCCCCTGAGGGGGTCTCTAATGCGTACTTATGTGGCTCACATCATCATACGCTCTGTTGTTGAAGTGGCTTTCATGACAGGTCAGTACCTGCTTTATGGTTTTCATCTCCTCACACTCTTTAAATGTGAGCAGGATCCTTGTCCCAACACAGTAGACTGTTTTGTTTCCAGACCAACAGAAAAAAATGTCTACATGGTGTTCATGCAGAGCATTGCAGTTCTCTCTTTATTCCTAAGCATCATGGAGGTGATACATTTAACCTGCAAAAAGCTTAAAGTCTGTGCTCGAGTGAAACAAGACAAGGATGAACCGACTACGAATGAGAGCAGAAAACAATCTGTTAAGCAAATAAGCAATAAATCCCTGAATGTATCACCTGCCCTAGGACCTTGTGACTGTGAGCTTAAAGGTGATGCAAATATGCTCCAAAACATGAAACCCTCAATTCGTATCACTTTTGATGATCAATGGGCAACTCAAGAGGAAATCAGCGATTATAGTTACTCTGCTCAAACTGTGTCTCAACAAACAACAAACCAAAATTACTGGGAATCAACTCGATGCTAAATTAAAATTAGAAGCCAAACAAGAAAAAACAAAAAGATGACAGCAGCCCAAGACGGAGGTTAAGGCTTCTAAACTGCCAAAAGGATTATAATCATCTTAACTTTCTTTGCATAAGGAGGTGAAGGAATCAGCTATCCAATGAAAAATATGTCTAACTACAACTCCTGCAGATTTCAGGTCAGCATCAGTGTTCAATAAATGACCTTTACTCTTCAAACTGAGGCATCAAGATGCAGCTGGAGCCCGAGCTTGCAGATACAAACTTTTTAGTTCAGCTGTGAATTGTTGACACACTATCAAATATCATTTAAGAAACTGTATAAATGCATTTAGCCACATTTTAGGCAAGAAACAAATCAGGTGGGTATGAATTTATTGTGTTTTCAATTTCATCTGTGCTTACAGCAAATGGTGGAAAAAAGACGCTGAACTACATATAAATCTAAGTTCACTGCAATGTATTAAGATCATAAAATATTCAACAAGGAAACCTAGTGTATGTATATATATATATATATATACACTACTCAAAGAAAATAAAGGAAACCTTTGTAATCAGAGTATAGCATCAAGTTAATTAAACTTCTGGGATATTGATTTGGTCAGGAAAGTAGCAGAGGGGGTTGTTAATCAGTTTCAACTGCTTTGGTGTAAATGAAATTTTTTAACAGGTGCACTAGAGGGGCAACAACGAGGCAGCCATCAAAACAGGAATGGTTTTACAGGTGGAGGCCACTGACATTTTTTCTGACTCTTTTTCACCAGTTTATCATTTGGCTAGGGTCACTACTACTATGTCACTACTGTTAGCACGAGGTGCTACCTGTACCCTACAGAGGTTGCACAGGCAGTCCAACTGCTCTAGGATGGCACATCAATACGTGCCATTGCCATAAGGTTTGCTGTGTCTCCCAGCACAATCTCAAGAGCATGGAGGAGATTCCAGGAGAAAGGCAGTTACTCCAGGAGAGCTGGACAGGGCCGTAGAAGGTCTACAACCCATCAGCAGGACCGGTAGCTGCTACTTTGTGCAAGGAGAACTGCCAGAGCCCTACAAAATGACCTCCAGCAGGCCACTGGTGTGAATGTCTCTGACCAAACAATCAGAAACAGACTTCAGGAGGGTGGCCTGACGTCCTCTAGTGGGCCCTGTGCTCACCGCCCGGCACCGTGGAGCTCGATTGGCATTTGCCACAGAACACTGGAATTGGCAAGTCCGCCACTGGCGCCCTGTTCTTTTCACAGATGAGAACAGGTTCACCCTGAGCAAATGTGACAAACATGAAAGGGTCTGGAGAAGCTGTGGAGAACATTATGCTGCCTGTAACATTGTTCAGCATGACAGGTTTGGTGGTGGGTCAGTGGTGGTCTGTCTATCCATGGAAGGATGCATAAACCCCTACAGGCTAGACAACGGCACCCTGACTGCTATTGGGTATCGGGATGAATTTCTTGCATCCATTGTCAGACCCTATGCTGGTGCAGTGGGTCCTGGGTTCCTCCTGGTGCACGACAATGCCTCATGTGGCAAGAGTATGCAGGCAGTTCCTGGAGGATGAAGCAACTGATACCATTGATTGGCCCCGACGCTCGCCATGTTGCACCTCAGACTGTCCATGCCCTGGTCCAGATCTGGGAGGAGATACCCCAAGACGCCATCCGTCGTCTCATTAGGAGCATGCCCCGACGGTGTAAGGTGTGCAAACACGCACGTGGGGGCCATAAAAATTAGTGAATATCATTCTGAGTTGCTGCAATAAAATTTCAGCAAAATGGACTTACCTGCTGCATCATTCTTTCACTGTAATTTTTGGGGTGTCTTTGAGCCCTCTGTAAGTTGATCATTTTCCTTTCCATCAAATGATGTGGTATCCTTTTGTTCCTAACACTTCACCCAGTCCATATCAGTTTAAATAAACAGCATGATTTTCTGCCCCATTGATATCTGATAAGTTCAAAGTGTTCCTTTAATTTTTTGAGCAGTGTGTATACTGCTCAAAAGCTTCATTCAATCTTTGCAGAAAAGATGGCGAAAGGTAAATATTTAAATCACTGCTTCACGTATAAGGCCTATGGACAACCAGCTAATTTGTCCACTTCAACTCAAAAATGCTCAATGCATTAAAACAAACAACTCTCTTGTTTTGATATGAACAAGAAAAACTCATTTTATGTACCTGCAGTTTAGAAAAAAAAGTTTAATGTTGGGGAAACAACATGATTTCCCATTTTGAGAAGAAACATTTTCCTTCAAGTAGATCATAAAAAAAGTGCAGAATTTGAACCAAGTTACTTTACTAAAGAATAAACAGTCCAGAAAACTATATACAGACATATACAGAATAAGTTATATTATAAGAAAGAGACTTACAGATCAGCCACATAAAACAATTCAGCTTCACCTTTTACAGAGTTGTTCTATCTTTAAATCAACAGCAGCGTAAACAAATATGTTTATCAAAAAAAACAAAAAACAACAGACTGGTTTGTTCTTGATGTCTAGTTGGCAGCGCCTCCATCCTTTGAAGCCGGCTCATATTTCTGGAGCTAGAAATGAATCCAAATAAAACACATTAGCTTTGATTTTGACAGCTCGTGCAGATGTGTGCATGAGAGTCATTATTAGAAAATAAAATTCCCTCTTAAAGAGACAGACATCAAAATAGCACAAAGGCAACATCATGTAAACAACCCTGAAACTCCATCTTTATGTTAACTGGTCCATTACAAGGGGGAAGTTCTGAGTTTATTCTTCTTGACCGCAGCATTGTTAATGTCATGATCCATTTTCATTCACTTTTTAGTTCATGTTTTAAAAATAAGAAAATAAACTAAAAGCAATTTCTGATGGACAAAGAAAAATATTATCTGCACATAAATGCAAAGTATGGATGAAATGTATAATCTCATGTAAAATGTATAAGAATACAGTGCTCTCTTGTGGACTGTTCTGGTATTAAAAAAAATACTGCTCAGACACACAAACAGAAGCTCAGATCATTTTCTGAATGTTATTTGAATAAAGTAAAAAGAAGACCTTAGCTTTGAGGTCTTCGTTTTCGTCCTCCAAACGTGCACATCTCTGTCTGAGGTCGTTCACTTCCTGCTGCAGAGCCTCAGTGTCTGTTGACATCAGGCTAACAGCTCCAAGCTGCTGCTTTACAAATCTGAATGCAGCTGGTTAAAGAATGGGCAGTAAGAAAGTTCTCAGCAACTTTAGAAAACACGCTGGAGTAATAAATTAAACATGCTGGAGCAAGGTCAGAGGTGTATATAAGAAGGATACTCAAGAGCGTTGGCAGGCTTATCTTGTTGCTCATACAGAGTCACGAGAACTAAAAAAAAAAAAAAAAAAAGTAGAAAAAGAGGTTAGTTTGTGACCAATACATACAGAGAGGACTGCAGGAATCAAATCTTTACATTAGTAACGATCAAGGATTTTAAAATTATAAACTGCAAAAAAAAAACAAAAAACACTTTCACTGTAAATTTATTACTTTCTATTTAGGTGAAAGACTAAGAAAAAATTTGCTTGCTGAAATCCAGTATTTAGGAGCTTTGGCAAATATTACCCCACTCCCTCAGCAGAGACATGAAACAAAAAAAAAAAACAATTAATGACAGCAGAGGAAAGACGCAACAAATCAACCATTGAAAACTTTAGCTTTCCTTTTTTATCTTAAAGGAATAAATAAATGTAGACTAATGGTTGTAATAGCAAATCTGATTTAAGAGATTTTTTTAACAACTTAGACTACTTTATTGTCATTTTGTACACACAGTATATACAAAATGAAATTTGGTTTATACAGCTTTCAGACAGGGAATGAGCAGCAGCTTAGCTGTGAAAAGGAACATTTGCTTTTCATAAAGTGCAGCAGTTATCAAATAAATAAGGAAACTTTAAAAAATGGAATACATAAAAACAACAAAATAATTCCTATTACCAGATGATAACTCAATGCTTGAAACGAAGGGCCGGTTATAAGTATCATTGTATACCAACATTTTATACATTAAGCTGTTAAAAGTGTCTATATTTTCTGTCACACAGTTTATGAGATGTAAAGAAGTTAAAATAAATGTTGGAGCGTCCTGACTTTTATCCAGCTTTAAGGATCAGCTGGCTGAGGGAGGGCTACAACACATCACCCAAAAAACAAACAAAAAAACAAAAAGCTTGAAATGCTTTTAGTAACAAAAGGATAAAGTTTTAAACCCCCTAATCAAAACGGGTTTCAAAACTGCATTTGGTTGACAATAAGCAGCCGACTGTTCTGTAAAAGCAGTCGTTCCAAGTAATCACTGTTGTACCTGTGTTACTGTAAAAAAGAGCAAAATAGGGAAAAAAGGGGGGAATCTAATCAGTAATCTCAAAAAAATTAAAAAACAATCCACTGGACTTGGTTTCCGAGTTTCAAGACGTTTTGCTTCCCATCCAGGAAGCTTTTTCAATTCAAAATGTCAAGGAATAGCTTTGAGTTTTGGGTTTTATACAGTAGCCCAAGGCTTGTTTTGCTTTTAATAACATGCAAATTGGAGCAGACGAAGGGGTCCACCCCTTTGGAATGGCTTCTGTTGTTAGACTGCAATACCCAGTACCTGTCTAAGTGTCTGAAAGGCAGTTGTGTCAAAAGTACACACATTTGTTACTAAAGTAGAAGTATAGATACTGCAGTTTAAAAACACTCTGGTAAAAGTTGAAGTATCAACTTGACCTCTTTACTAAAGGAAAAGTGAAACAGTATGTGCTCCAAAAACTACTTAAAGTATAAAAGTATAAAGTAACCTTTAAAAAAACAGCCAGATGCCACTATATGAATTGAAAGCTCAATTTTTTTCTTTGAGATAGGGCCAAGGATGAGGGAGGTCTTGTTAGACTCCATCTCCATGTCCCCGATACGCTCTCACCTGTGTCCGACCTTTCAGACATTTCAACATCTTTTTCTGAATCCGACATTGTAGCATGGCATAGATAATTCACGTTTGCAGTTTGAAGAACACCTGCTTGATTCTGATGATTTCCTTTAGAAAACCAATGAGTTATATGACTCATCTAATTACACTAGTTTTCACTAGATGTGGATGGGGCCAATGATCTGCATTGGATGGCGCACATGACATGAAATAAATATGTATAAGCATTAAACAGAAGCCAAGAGTAACGAGTAACGTTTGTTTTTAAAATGTAAGGAATAGAAAGTACAGATACTTGTGTGATAATGTAATGAGTAGAAGTCTGAAGTAGGAAGAAAAATAAGTAATGGAGTAAAGTATAGATACCTAAAGAGTGTACTTAAGTACAGTAACAAAGTATTTGTACTAATTACTCGACACCTCTGCTGAAGGGTCGGTCATTTTTAATTGCTTGAATACTTTATTTTTATTTAGTTTCACAAACAATCTGTTAAAAATATTTTAAAAGCAGTAGGAATTACATACTTTTCTGGTTTAATTATGAAAATTATATTTTTCTAAGTTATTCACTGTGAAACACCTAAATTGTACAGAAAGACTGCTCTGGTTTGAATGAATATCTGCAAACACACCTGATTCCAATAATTGGGTTAATTGGGTGAAGTCAACCCCTCCTGCGGGGAGCTGTGGAGTGTTAAAAACTCAATTTCTCTTTGTAAGTTTGTAACAAGATTTACTGAAGTCAAATGTGTTGAATTTAAAAATAAAATGGCAAGTATTTATTTGCATCAAGCAAAAAAAAAAAAAAGATTTTGGATGAATTGAATGAACATTTTGCAATAATAAAAAGACTGCAGAAGGAAATATAAAAACCTTAACTTCAGAAACGTCAGGTTTTATAGAACTAAAAATAAAAATAAAGCTTCCTACCACTGGTGAGACTGTCAGTGACTCCAGTTTTCTCTAAATATCTTCTGAAACTCTCTCTCTTGGGGTCAGAAGCCTGAGGGAAGAAAACATTTACAAGAATTAAACTTTTCAAACCATAGTTCAACTTACTGCAATCGTTTCTTTAGATGCAGTAACCTTATGTATTTTATTTACCCATAGCTCTTAATAGCATTCTGTCAATTTTAAACTAGTATTTGGGAGTATAATTATTTTATCATGATTTCAATGGAGCCTCATTGCGTGCTAACGTCTGTGCTAGCTTTTATAACTTTTAACTGTGCTTTTATAACATCAACGAATAAAAAGGAATATTAAAGACACTTACTCTATATTGCGCCATTGTGATCTCGGCTATAAAGCTCACTGTTAATCTTTTATATCTGCTGTAATGCTTTATATTAGAGCGAATGAAAATGAGGTAAAGTAGCAGCGTGTCGGTAAAGTTAACTTTCGTTTTATGGGTTCATCTGGAGATAGGGCTGCGCTCAACTCAATGATGCCTTCCCGTGTCTCACGTAAATATCGGAACATTGCCGACATAATGCCAATTTGTCGAGAATTAAAATCTTCTCCAGTTATTTAAACGCAAGAAACCAAGTACATATAATTATATAAGTATTTTAACGTTGCATTAAGATTTACAGTTTCAGAGCATGTTTTAAAAGTTAAAACCAGAAAACCTAAATAAAATGTTCACACAAAATGTATTTTTATTAATGGGGTAAATAATCACAACAATAATAATTGAAATAGTTCAAATTAATTAAGTGTGTATTATTTTCTTTCTAATTTTAAACTATATATAAACTGGATTAAATGAGAAGTGTACTGATTCTAATATTTCCTACATGTTAGATAGACAACTAAACTGTTGGATTTACTGTTGTGTGTGATTGTCGCCATCTGTTGGTAAGCGCGTTAACAACCTCCAATAAATATTTACTTTTCCTGGCTAAAAAAATTAAAACAACGGAGCATCACGCGGCTCTGTTTGAAAAACAAAGTGTGTTTCAAATAGATTATCGCCGAAAAAACAACTATACCATGTGGATATACCGTTTAGTTCACAAAACAAGTCTGAGCACTAGTCAGGTGACAGTGAGAAACCTCAAAAGACTGACAGAAACTCTAGCCAATTGAAACTTGAGATTTATTCCATGTAGCCAATCAGAATCAAGGGGCGGGAGGATAAGCTTTTTTTCAGCTGAGAGGAAATCCTTAGGAAATGTGAGGCATCATCATGCAGTGTGATTTCAAGAGGCTAATACGGTATTGACAAACTGTTTTAGTAACGAGGCGATTTTATTGTGTTTGGTAACAAACATAGTAGGGGTTGGATACATTAAGAGCGGGACATAGAGCGTAAGCGGCCTTTGTTAGGTCAAAATGTCGATTCAGTACGAGGTGGAACAGCTGGCTGACAGCTACGGGGTTTCGGACTCGTTTCCCAAAGATTTCGGTTACGGTGAAGAGGAGCCCGACATCGAGGACAGCTCGGCCCCGTCGGACAGCAAACCAAGGATCCTGCTCATGGGTCTACGGCGAAGCGGTAAATCATCCATACAGAAGGTGGGGAGATATCTATGTTTTTAAAGTGTTAGCATTGCGAGGCTAGGGGCCGCTTTCATCTACTCCTCTCAGTTAAAATAGCTAGCAACTTTGTTTAGCATGATGCTAATGATAATTGTTATCAATCAACGTGTGCAGCTGCAAGGACTGTTATAACAAGCTGATAAGCAGTAAGCTGCGCTGGTAATTATTAACCAAGTGGACAGAGACGGTTGATAATATGGGGGAAAAAACATAATGTGATATGGCAAGGACACAGTAGCAAACTGACCACACCTTACCTTTAGTTTTTAATAAGTGCATCAAGATTAGAAGTTTGCAGACAGGAGGTGAAATGACTTTCCTTTCAGTATTATTCGCACCCAGTGACCAGTTTTACTTTTGTCATAATATAACCACGAACTACCCAGTATTTTATTTTTATTTAGAGTAATAGACTAATACAAACTCGCCTATAAAGATTACATGAAAATGAAAGTGTATTTATTTATTTATTTTTTTTACAGATACAAGTTTAATATGTGTGACATGCATATTTTTTCAGTATTACATGTTAACAAACCGTGAAAATAAGGGGTGACCTGAAACAACTTTTTCATTTCCATTATAGTACTGATATTTCAGCTTTGAGTACGGGGCAATACCGATATTGTAGCTTTGAGTATGAGGCGGTACCGATATTTCAGCTTTGATTATGGAGCAGTACCGATATTGCAGCTTTTAGGTTTGGGGCGGTACCGATATTGTAGCTTTGAATACGGGGCGGTACCGATATTGTAGCTTTGAATACGGGGCGGTACCGATATTGTAGCTTTGTTAATGGAGCAGTACCGATATTGCAGCTTTTGAGGTTTAGGGCTGTACCTATATTGTAGCTTAGAGTACGGGGCGGTACCGATATTTCAGCTTTGATTATGGAGCAGTACCGATATTGCAGCTTTGAGGTTTGGGCGGTTCGGATATTGCAGCTTTGAGTACCGGGCGGTACCGGTATTGTAGCTTTGAGTATGGGACAATACAGATATTTCAGCTTTGAGCACGGGGCAGTAGGGTTGTCACGATACTAAACTTTTCAACTCGATACCGATACTAAGGAAAATATTCGATACCCGATACCATTTTCGATACCACAAGGATAAAATTTCAACAGAAATATTTTGATTAATAATTAAAATACAATAAATAAATACAATAAACAATAAGAACAACATTTTGATGTTGTTTGCTGTGCACAGTATTTAGCAAGCCTGATAAAAAAAATTACAAAATTAAAATTAAGTTTTCCTTACTTGGCTATGCTTTGCACACATAACAATGACACTAGCCAAACCGGTTAAGAAACAAAAATAATTTTCAGCAGCTGCAACTGTTACAAAAAAAGTCTGAAACTGAAAAGTGCACAGAATTATTCAATCACAGTGTTCAGAAAGTGCATTTTCCTCTATTCTGCAGTTTAGATGAATGACTGTTTAGGTGCGACTGGTACTCGATACTTTTGAAAATGAGTATTGTATCCGGATACAACATTTCAGTATCGATACTTTTTTGAGTATTGATACTTTTGACAACCCTACGGGGCAGTACCGATATTGTAGCTTTGAGGTTTAGGGTGGTACCGATATTTCAGCTTTGATTATGGAGCAGTACCGATATTGTAGCTTTGAGTGCTGGGTGGTACCGATATTTCAGCTTTGAGTACGGGGCAAAACCGATATTGTAGCTTTGAGTATAGGGCAATACTGATATTGCCCTGATACGATATTAGTATTAATCATACATACTAATTAATTATTTTACTGTGTGGAATGATAGACAAGCTTTGATCAAGTGATTTTTCTCTGAGGAAAAATATGTTTTTATTTTAAGGTTTGGGAAAAATTGTCTAGATTTAGCTCTTGGCTAAGGCTAGATCAATCTAAGTCATACTTTAGACCTTGAAATTTGTAGTATTCCACCTGGATAGTAAACCTGGGCTCCAATCTGAAGTTTTGCAGCCATTACAGGTTTTCCTCCAGGACTGCAAATGTTTTAAGCTCTCTTCATCTTCCCAATAACTTTGAGCTTCCCTGTTCAAGTAAAGCATCACAACGAAGTTCTGTCACATCTATGCTTCACAAAGGGATAATTATTCTTAAAATGATTATTGTTATTCTGTAAGTTGATAAAAAGAATAGGTCAGCTGGATCATATCTGAGCAAACCAACATCTTCTGCTCATTGCATTGATCTTATTCTTCCAACAATGGCTTTCTGCTTGCTAATTCTAGTCTAGGCCAGTTTGAGTTTGTGCATTACATAAAAAAATAACACATGAAAAAGTGCAAGGCACAATAAACTTATTGGATAATCTCTTTGTGGACCAGTCTCTAGTCATTATTTTCAATGTTTCCTGTTTTCAGAATACAGAATCTGTATTTACTTCCTGTATGATATACAGGCAATTATGCCTACATGAGTCAGAGATTCAAAAATAAAAATGTTATTTTTTTTATCTTATATTTTAAATTTTTAACCCTAACCCTTCACAGCTGAAAGTTTTGCACAAAAAAAAAAACAGGAGTTTGTCACATTGTGATTTACTAAGTCCTATTTCAAACTGATGCTGTGGTTAAATAATAGATAGGAAGTTGTGTTTCCATCTGTGATATTTCATTATTTATGTCAAAATTCAATGTTAAGTAAGAGGGCAAAAAATAGAAGTAAAGAGTGGCACTTTTCTGTCCCAAGCTCTGTATGTTACAGTTCACACCACCTCCAGTCTGAGATTAATGTTCTCTTCTGTAAGCCTTTAGTTTGGAAAGCATGTGATACGGCTTTTTGCTGGCCTTTGATTTAAAATGGCAGCCGTGAAGCAAAAATAATAACCCATCAACCATTTTTTTTTTATTTTGCTTTCAAGCATTTATTTGATATTTTATTAACAGTTGACAGGTGCTGTTTTATAAACTGCCACTAAAGCTTGTAGATGAAAAATGCTGAGTGCAGCGGCATCGTGCGTCAGATGAGCATCGGCGAGTCTGCAGTTTTTTTGCCCTTTTCCCTTTTTGTTTGACATGTGACGCTCAAATGATAGGCTTGTGCTGGAATCAAGTCGTGTAAAGCAAATAGCTCAATGCTTAAAACTGTGCAAGTTTTACCTTTGCTGAAATCATTTAGGAGGTTCCTGTCAGAGTGTTAGAATAAACTGCTCAGTCATTCCATTGAGACAAAAGTCTGTCTTCTAAAGCAATCCAAAACTTGAGCGTTGTTAAGAAATGGCTGCTGGACAGTTCTTAAACATGGGAAAGGTAAAAATGTCTGTTTTTTTTTTTGTTAAAATTTAAAATTCTGTTATTTACCTTTGATGAAGGAGCATTAGGCAACCAAACAGCTGAGGAAAACCAATATTGAAACTTTGATCAGAACCCCATGATCTTTTAATCAGTACAGCAAGTCATGTATCAATACTCCCTCTTTGTTTCTGTTTGGAGATCTATTGAAGTTTGAACTCTCCTGTATTTATGGTATTTTTAACTCGGGGGAGGGGGGGTGTATCGTTGCTCTTTAAAAGTGCCAAAAAAGCCAAAAGGAGTCCATATATTTTCTGACTTAATAATTATCCGTAGCCATCCCTCTTATCTTGGCTGTATTTGACTAATTTGTTACTCTCTGTTTGGTTAAGTGTAACTCATCAAACTGTCAACAATAAATAGAAGTTATGCTTTTTTTTTTTTTTTTTTCCATAAGCATCAAGGATTCGATGAAAACAAGTGAAACAAGCTTCTTACATTCGTTCTGCTGAATCATAAACACAAGTCTCGTTTCAGGTGGTGTTTCACAAAATGTCCCCAAACGAGACATTGTTTTTGGAAAGCACCAACAAGATCTACAAGGATGACATCTCCAGCAGCTCCTTCGTTAACTTCCAGATCTGGGACTTCCCCGGCCAGGTGGACTTTCTAGACCCCACCTTTGACTATGAGAGGATCTTCAGGGGAACCGGAGCTCTGATATTTGTGATTGATGCTCAGGTGAAGATATTACATTTTTAGATTTATTTTCTTTAGGGAGGTTCAGAATTGAGCAAGCATTTCCTTTAAGAAATTTGACATAAAAAACCTGACTTATTGCTATACTTTCTTAGCTTTTTTCCAACTTAATAAGGATTAAAACCACCCTGTCTTCCTTGTTTTTAATGTATAATGGAAGCTTAATGCTGATAAATGGACTCTATGATGAACCTGCCATCCAAATGCTTTTAAGAACTGATCTCAGCTCCATAAAAGCAGCAGCTGAACTGATTGCAGAGTTTGTTTGCGGTTGAGATGCTGCCAGATGAATTGATTCTAGCCGTTTGTACTGGAGCAGCTCAGTTTTCCCCTTGCTGTTTAGAAAAGAATGTGCTTTGAAAAAAACTCAACTCACTGTAAAAGAAGGTGAATTATACCATTTAGAACGAGTTCTACTTTTACGACAGAACCTGCAAGTAGCAAACCCATAGAGTCATGCATGCCTGTTTGTTTTTAAGATGATGAAAAATATATTGAATTTAACATTTTAAAGCTGTTCTTATGCTTTGCTATGGCTGACATTCTATTTGTGCAAACCGACTTTTAAAACCACAAATCCTTTGCTTCAGGATGACTACATGGAGGCTCTGGGACGGCTCCATCTCACGGTGTCACGGGCCTACAGGGTCAATCCAGAGATCAATTTTGAGGTGTTCATCCATAAAGTTGACGGCCTTTCAGACGATCACAAGATTGAAACACAGAGAGATATTCATCAGAGAGCCAATGATGATCTGGCAGATGCAAGTTTAGAGAAGCTACATCTCAGGTAAATTTTCTTTGATTGCTGTTACTAGGGATTGATGTACTGTAACTTTCCTAACTTTCCTCATTATATTAGTTTAAGCTATATTTAAAATAATATATTTATTAGGTTTACAGTCATCAAATCAATTGTAATTAACCTTACTTTGGCTGGGAAACTCTTCAACTTGTGAAATCAGCTTTTGAAATAATCCTTAAAAATTGCACCAAAGCACTCTGTTGTGATTGCATTATTGCACACATTGATATTGCACCAGAGTTTGAAAGTCGGTATATCACAATAATTTCAGAGGCTTTTTTCTGGCCACAATAGACTTTATTGCTGCTATAGAGAGCTGGTTAAAAGAAGCATTTCAATATCAGACAAAGAGACAGTTTTTAGTTTTTATAGACAGTTTTTGAGTCTTTTCTCTTTTTTAAGGCACTGTAGAACATCAGCCCTTACCTTAAGTGTTAAACCTGCAGTCCCTAAGCCTTTGTTATTTGACTCTTTCTGGAGCTTAAAAATGTTTTTGCCAAATTTAGTACGCTGATTTGAATTTTGCTGTTTCTATCAAAGCAATAGGAATACTTCTTTATTTTCTCATTGATAGAAGCATGTTGGTAGCTTTTTCAGATGGTTTAGGCTACTTAAACTTGTTTGGCAGGTTCTCTCTGAATGCCTCCTTGATTCTACAGGACTGGCTGTAATGAAGTTAGGTTATGATTATTGTTGCAGGTAATAGTTTGTGTCAAAGGGAGTAATTACTTTTTCACATTTATTCTCCTAGCACCATTCCTATTCAAGGCCATCCAAAAAAGCTTTGCAGAAGCTAAGAGAAGGACGGGACAATATAAACAATGTAGGGCTGAACGATTTGGCCCAAAATCAAAATTGCGATTATTTTCAACCAATACTGCAATTTTATTGCAATGACCAACAATCATAATGGAAGCTTATATCGTTTGGCAGTTTTACTACTTCACTTTTGCAGATACTGGAGCTTTTCTCACCTTTTTGATGTTGTTCTAGCTTTGTATTGATTGTAACACAAAGGTGTACCTATGAGTAAATAATTTCTTAATTGATGATTCTAGCATCCTTAATCTGGTCAAACATCTAAAATTAACTGTTGCTAATAATAAGTTATTTGTAAACTTAACATCAAACCCAAAGCTAAGCATATCTGCCTTATTTGTAGTTATTATTCTGGAAGAACAGATATACCTAAGATCTTTAACTCAACACTTACAAAACTACAAAAACTGTCTTTGAGTCTTAAATAAAGATGTGTTATTTAAGGCTGTACTTTCCTTTTTTCTTTCTATTTATTTCTTAAATTTGTTGATAAAAGTTGGTCACAACACAGACAAGCAAACAACAAATACAAAATAAAGGAAAATATGACATACTGTAAAATGAATTCTGAAATAAAGTATTTAACACAAGAAAACTATTTGGGTGTCATTCTGAACAAATAAGGGGATGAAACTACTTCATGAATCAAAATGAGAGGAATAAAAACTTAAAAACCAATACCAAAACAAATAGGGAAGTATTAGAGAGATAGTAGAAACAAATCGTGTTACTGTTTTTTTTAGCATCAGTTCAAAGAAGAGCTGCAGCATTTTGGACAATTTTTAAACCCTTCAGGGAAGCTTGATTTAGACCAGCGTGCAAACCATTACAGTAATCTAAATTAAGGGTTATAAAAAGCATGAATGGCCTTCAGATGTTTTGAAAGATGAGGCTTGATCTTAAATTATATCTGTTGGTCAGGTAAAATCTGGATCCAATCACAGCATCACACTTAGGACAGCTGTCCAGTATTTACCTTCATTTCTCAATGGTTATTTTAGAGGTAGAGAAGAGAACCAGAACCATCAACTAAACATTTCCCAAAACAACAACTTGCTGCCATTTAATTTTATCCAGGTCTTGATTTCATTCAGGTTGTTCAGTACTTGGGAAATGCGATTACTGTTATTTGATTTAACTGACATGTAGGCCTTGATGTAACCAGCTGAACAATAAAAAGGGACATTGTGTTTCCTAAAAATAGATGCCAGTGTCAGCAGATAAAAGTCGAGCGGTAGGGGAAATAGTATGGACGTTTGAGGGACCCCAAAGCAGAGAGGAACCCCAGTACACAGATCTACACTCTATGCTATAAACATGTTCCACTTCGGATACCAGAATATAACCATTCACAGTATAAAGAACCACAGATAAATCTAAAGTTACTCGAAAAGGGCTGTGGTGTGATGTACAACCTGAGTAAATTTCCTTCAAACGGAGCCTGGATCTAAAAACTTTACCTGAAACCTTTGAAATGAATGAAAGTTTGCATGCAGACCTGTAGTCCGTTCAACAACACGCTGAAAGCAACTGAAACAAAGCTTGAAGACTGAGAACTGTTAGTCACAGTGAAAACACTCAGAACAACAGTTTCAAACGCTTCTTTGAACAGAGCTGGGATCTAGTCTAAAGGTGGTGCTGTGATGTATATGTGAAATTCCTCCATAGTCTTCTAATGAAGGGACACTGACCCACGTGTGAGATACTGCAGCAGGCTAACAGTAAAAAACTAACAAACAAAAAAAGGCTGTATGTTTGTCCAAAAGAATAGTTTTGATATTAGAACCTCGTGAAAAGAGAAATCTCTCAGCTGTGTGTGTTCTCCTTTTATCTTTGTCTTTTTAGGATCTAGATATGTGTCTCTACAAATTTTAAACTAATTAAGTCCATGAAGACTAATAGTAACACATCAAACCTTTTAATTTTATATTAGTCTGAATTTATTGTTTTGGCTTTAGAAATTAAAATAGGACAGAATGTATCTTTTATTTAAATGCCTTTGTGTTCAAGTTGATTTGGTAGCAGCTTTCAAAAAATAAAGGAACCTGTTGGCACAGCAGTATGTTTTCAGTTTGGTAAAATTGTCTATTTCTGTTAGACAGCCAGGGCCTTCCTGGAAATATGATGGAGCAAAAAAGATCTATCTTTTTGCAGAATCAGATTTGCAGCCCTGTCACTTCAGACAACTCTTTCTGGTTAAACAGGCTCTCGCTAATAGGATTTTCTTTTTTTTTTACGTACATACACTATATTGCCAAAAGTATTTGCTCACCTGCCTTGACTCACATATGAGCTTAAGTGACATCCCGTTCCTAATCCATAGGGTTCAATATGACGTCGGTCCACCCTTTGCAGCTAGAACAGCTTCAACTCTTCTGGGAAGGCTGTCCACAAGGTTTAGGAGTGTGTTTATGGGAATTTTTGACCATTCTTCCAGAAGCGCATTTGTGAGGTCGCACACTGATGTTGGACGAGAAGGCCTGGCTCTCAGTCTCCGCTCTAATTCATCCCAAAGGTGTTCTATCGGGTTGAGGTCAGGACTCTGTGCAGGCCAGTCAAGTTCATCCACACCAGACTCTGTCATCCATGTCTTTATGGACCTTGCTTTGTGCACTGGTGCACAGTCATGTTGGAAGAGGAAGGGGCCAGCTCCAAACTGTTCCCACAAAGTTGGGAGCATGGAATTGTCCAAAATGTCTTGGTATGCTGAAGCATTCAGAGTTCCTTTCACTGGAACTAAGGGGCCAAGCCCAGCTCCTGAAAAACAACCTCACACCATAATCCCCCCTCCACCAAACTTTACACTTGGCACAATGCAGTCAGACAAGTACCGTTCTCCTGGCAACCGCCAAACCCAGACCCGTCCATCAGATTGCCAGATGGAGAAGCGCGATTCGTCACTCCAGAGAATGCGTCTCCACTGCTCTAGAGTCCAGTGGCGGCGTGCTTTACACCACCGCATCCGACGCTTTGCATTGCACTTGGTGATGTATGGCTTGGATGCAGCTGCTCGACCATGGAAACCCATTCCATGAAGCTCTCTGCGCACTGTTCTTGAGCTAATCTGAAGGCCACATGAAGTTTGGAGGTCTGTAGTGATTGACTCTGCAGAAAGTTGGCGACCTCTTCGCACTATGCGCGTCAGCATCCGCTGACCCCGCTCCGTCAGTTTACGTGGCCTACCACTTCGTGGCTGAGTTGCTGTCGTTCCCAAACACTTCCATTTTCTTATAATACAGCTGACAGTTGACTGTGGAATATTTAGGAGCGAGGAAATTTCACGACTGGATTTGTTGCACAGGTGGCATCCTATCACAGTTCCACGCTGGAATTCACTGAGCTCCTGAGAGCGACCCATTCTTTCACAAATGTTTGTAAAAACAGTCTGCATGCCTAGGTGCTTGAATTTATACACCTGTGGCCATGAAAGTGATTGGAACACCTGATTCCAATAATTTGGATGGGTGAGCAAATACTTTTGGCAATATAGTGTATCTGTATCCAAGGCCCATTCATTGTGCAGATTTCTGCTGCTGGTAAAAATATTCAGTTTTTGGCAGTTTTATTTTTTTCTCCTATTAGCTAGAAATCAGATCATCCATCTGTTTTCTCGTGTAATCTTGTATTTTAACCGTTTTGGTGATCATTTTAAGAAAGTGTCTTTATTTCCCTCTCATTTAGCTTCTATTTGACAAGTATTTATGACCACTCCATCTTTGAGGCCTTCAGCAAAGTGGTGCAGAAGCTCATCCCCCAGCTCCCCACTTTGGAGAACCTTCTAAATATCTTCATTTCTGTAAGTAAAAAAACTCTGCAGCTTTCCTCTGTGTTCCTGGTTGGGATTTAAACGTGGTATTCTTTATGATTGAAGTCTCTGCTGAATGCCAGGATATGATTGTGTATGCTTTTTTTTTTGATTCTTCTGAAACAATGACCTAATGATGACATACAATTATAAAACTTTTAATTTGGTTTAGTTGATCAGAGAAGTAACTTCTCAAACTTCTTTTTATCACCTTAGCTAATCTCTAGGATCTCACATTAGCACACTATGAGTTCTGCAAAAGGTTAAGAATCTCAGCAAATCCAATTTAAGCTTGTTCCACATCAGAGAAAGGTAATCAGCTCTTAAAGGAATAGTACACCCAAAACATGATTAGCCTTCATTTTCTACTCACCCCCATGCTGAACAACACTCTGGAGTACTTTTTTGATATCTCAAATGCATCTGGAGATCTGGGAGGCTTCTTGCTGTCTGCTGACATTCAAATAATGGAGGTCTATGGTGCCCGAGGCAGAAAGGTCCATAAAAGTCCACAAAAAACGTGTCAATATTCCTCCATACTGCTCATCCAATGTATTCCAAGTGTCCTGAGTGGGTAGCGTCCATAATTTACTCGAAACGAAGTCATTTAGAATGTTTTTAGAGCATAAACAGTAGTGTATAGGATTTCCTGAAAGCTCGGGCCGGCGCGTTCATGACGCTACGGAAGCCGGCAGACCAAACCAGATGAAAGTGTGCATTCAGCGTCTGCTCTGCCAATAATGCAAGTGTAGAAGAAGAAATGTGCTGTTTACCTGTGCAAAGAAAGAAACAACGAAAGAAAAATGTCTGAGGACTATAGTGTTGAGGAAGAGCATGAGTTCTTTGCCGAGCTGAATGCGCTGGTTTGGTCTGCCGGCTTCCGTAGCGTCGGGATACACTACTGTTTATGCTCTAAAAACATTCTAAATAACTTCGTTTCGAGTAAATTCTGGATGCTACCCACTCAGGACACTTGGAATACATTGGACGAGCAGTATGGAGGAATATTGAAACGTTTTTTGTTGACTTTTATGGACCTTTCTGTCTCGGGCACCATAGACCTCCATTATTTGAATGTCAGCAGACAGCAAGAAGCCTCCCAGATCTCCAGATGCATTTGAGATATCAAAAAAGTACTCCAGAGTGTTGTTCAGCATGGGGGTGAGTAGAAAATGAAGGCTAATCATGTTTTGGGTGTACTATTCCTTTAAGGATAAAACAGATCAACTTTGCTATACTTCATTCAGTCTTTCCGCTGTTTGCTTCAAGTTTGCATCTGTGTCGGTTTCCTGTAGCCTGAATTAACTTAAAACATGCTGCTACATGTGTTAGAGGACTGTTGTTTTTTGATTACGTTTTTAAAATCTTCGCTATATACTTTCAGCCTTCTTCACTCAGTAAGCAACAAACACTGACAAGATCATTGCTCTATGATTGATTGAAAAAAAATCAGCTGATTCCTGCTGATAGCTGATCTCTCTGTGCATGCTGACTAACATGTATAGAAAAACAATGTGAATAAGATTTTTTTTTTCTCCTGCTTGTGAGGAGGAACAGTGTTTCTTTATCATAGTCAGCTGATTGTAAAGATTTAGCTTATCTCCTACCAAAGCATTTGTCCCTGGAAAAACATATGACCTTCTTTATGTGACGGTAGAATTCAATGAGCTTCATCAGTAAAGCTTTTATAGTTTGTAAATTCCCAAATCTAATTTTGAAAACCTCTGTTGTGAAAACTTTCTATTTTCCTTGGTCCTTTGTTTTTAAAACCGATAGACTACTTGAAGAATACATGTATTTTATGTAGGATAATTTGCTATAGATCCTTTAGTTAACATTATTTGGCACTTTCCACTGCTAGTGATGCCATTCTGCTGCTTTGGGTCTCATTTTTAAACCATTCATTGTTTTTCCTATTTGCTCCTTCCAGAATTCAGGGATTGAAAAAGCCTTTCTGTTTGACGTGGTCAGTAAGATCTACATCGCCACAGACAGCTCGCCTGTAGATATGCAGTCCTATGAACTGTGCTGTGATATGATCGATGTGGTGATTGATGTCTCCTGTATATATGGGTGAGTATGTTTCCCTTGCATTGAAGACATTAAGATACATAGTAGAGTGAATCCATATTTTGTGTACTTAAGCTCAGCTCAGTAATTTACGTGACTGTTTTTGTCTTATGATAGTTTGAGGGAAGATGGCAGTGGCAGCGCCTATGACAAGGAGTCCATGGCAATCATCAAGCTCAACAACACCACTGTGCTGTACCTCAAAGAGGTCACAAAGTTCCTCGCTCTGGTCTGCATCCTGAGAGAGGAGAGCTTTGAGCGTAAAGGTAAACAGGCAGCAGACAGATTTCAAAACCAAAGCACTTCCACATATTAATAAGGTTCAAGAGAGCATGGCCGCTGAAAAGGGGGACAACCGGATCAGTTGTAGCGGGCCAAAGGTAAAGGAGGGGCCCCTGAACCAGGCCCCTCCATATATGGCCAGGAAGATTTTATTTTATTTTTGCAAAGAAATAGGACATGCAAACCTTTCCTATTATTACCTTCTTTTTATCCACTGCAGTACTGGGGAAGTACCCCACCTGCCATTCCTTGTAAATGGTTATGCCGCTGGCGCATCAGTAAAGTTTGTCAAGCTGCTCTGCTAAAATACACAAGGTTGCTGCACTGCAGCTGGAGACCACTAACAATATGATAAGGCATTAACTCCAATGGTAAATGGCATGTACTTATATAATACCTTTATTCAAGTCAGGAGACTTGACCAAAGCGCTTTACACTACATTCATTCACCCATTCACGCACACACTCACACACTGATGGTGGCAAGCTACATTGTAGCCAAAACTGCCCTGGGGCTTACTGACAGAAGCGGGGCTGCCGGGCCCTCTGACCACCATCAGTAGACGATGCAGGTTAAGTGTCTTGCCCAAGGACACAACGACACTGAAAGTCAGAGCCGGGGATTGAACCGTCAATCCTTCAATTTCAGGGCAAACTCTTACATCCAAAGCCACTGTCGCCCTATGGAGAGTAGGGGTGTAAATCACATCCATCATGGCGATTCGATTCAGTATCGATTTCCTGACCCAACGATTCGATTATTTTCGATACTTAAGAATACACCACGATTCGATTCGATTCGATTCGATTAATCGATTAATCGGTTAATTTTTTTTTATTATTATTATTTTTTTTTTTTTACACCTTACAGGCTAAACAAAGTTTCAAGTTTGAAATAAATCAATGAAAGCTGTAATATCATTATGCATTTTCTTTAGAAACAACAGCAAATAACAGAAGTAGAAAAGTTGCATCAAAAAATACTGCAAAAATACTGCACAATATCAGTGTAATGAGTTCAATGCAATACCTCGGCTCCAGAGAAACTGTCCAACATATTTTTTTTAGAATGTAATAAATATATTCAGGAAAGAGAGATGTTGTGTAGAGAGTTAGACAGGAATAAAAATAAACTAGATATAAGGGAATTGTTTCAAAGGTCATCTGGGGATGTAGTTTTTGGGGGTATTTTTAATTTTCTAAGAAGAACGGGTATTTTAGGGAGAATATAATAGTTTGTCTGGTCCATACTCCATTCTGGAAGGTGGTGGTAATGCACCTATAAGTTGTTTGCCAACCGCCATTAAAAAAAAGAAGAAGAAGAAGGCTCCAGAGTGTTGACGTCACCGCCCCTTGAGAGACGCTCCGCTGCACCTCTCCCAGATTGTAGCTGACCGCAAACAGTGCAGCAGACAGGAGGCCGGCTAGTTTTCTTTTTATGACCGAAATTGCGGAAAACAACTCGTGAAGTTTGACCCGCTAGAAGAGCGAGGTGCGCGAGAACGCTGGGAGCCTTTTTCCAGCTGAATCTCCGCTCTTTTTGCCCCATTGTCCCTCCGTCGTCGGACTAAACTCGCCCCCACTTCCTCATCGCCTCGGCCGTATCTAGACCCACAGCGTGTAGCTCAGACCACGCTTCAATACTGAGCATAATTTAAAAATATCTGTGTGAAGCTTGCTGCAACAAACTGCTGTAAGAGTATAACCAGGAAGCGCGGTAGGAGGGCAAAATAGGTTTAGCGGCACCGAAGCACGGGAGGAAGAATTACGCCCAGGAGCAAATGGATAAAAATAGACCGGAGGGAAAAAAAAAAAACATTAATCGATTATCTTGCGGACGTGTCGATGCATCGGATCGTCGGCTTTTGGATCGATGCATCGATACAAAACGATTATTATTTACACCCCTAATGGAGAGTTAGCAGTTATCCACTTCAATAATAGAAGTCTATATGCAAATTTCTTTAATATCAAAGGTTATTTGAATCAGTTTAAACAACCATTCAGTAAAATTGCTATATCCGAATCCTGGATTTAAAGGAGAAAGGGTTGGATTTTCAACTTGATGGGTATGAATTGATATACATGAATAGGTAAAATAAAAATGGAAAAGGAGTTGCTATATATTTGAAGAATAATATATAATATGTCCGTGGACTACAAAGGGGTTACATTAATTAAATTGAGAACTAATGTGGGCTGCTCAGTGGCGCAGTGGGTAGCACTGCTGCCTTTTGGGTTCGATTCCTGGCCCGGGGTCTTTCTGCATGGAGTTTGCGTGTTCTCCCTGAGCATGCATGGGTTCTCTCTGGGTACTCCGGCTTCCTCCAAAAGTCCAAAAACATGACTGTTAGGTTGATTGTCATTAGGTGTGAGTGTGTGCATGAATGGTTGTTAGTCCTGTGTGTCTCTGTGTTGCCCTGCGATGGACTGGCGACCTGTCCAGGGTGTACCCCGCCTCTTGACCATTGACTGCTGGAGATAGGCACCAGCACCCCTCGCTACCCCACTCAGGACAAGCGTGTAAGAAGATGGATGGATGTGGCAGATAGCAGATACAAAAACTATAAAAAAGTAACAAATATTCTAAGATCAAGCAGAAAAGAATATAAGAAAATATTGGATGAAAAGAGAGCAAATATCAAGGGGGCATGGGGCATTCTAAATAGTCTTTAAAAAGGTAATTGTAGTCATTTCTAAACCATTGATACACATTGATATCATTTATATCGTTGTGTAAAACTGGAAGCAAACACCATTTTATAAATTACAGGCCTATCTCTCTGTTGCCATAATACTCTAAAATATTTGAAAAACTATTTCCCCATATACTGAGAAGTGTTTTTTTCTTCTTCCCAGGATTAATAGACTACAACTTCCATTGTTTCCGGAAGGCCATCCACGAAGTATTTGAGGTTGGAGTTTCTGCTCAGCGTCCTTTAGGCTCACAGGCGGTGGGCTCACCCTGCAACAAGGCGGTGGCTTTGAACGGCACGCCGCGCAACACGGTGTAAACACTGCTGCAAGATAAATCAAGAATAAATAAAAACATGGAAAACGAAGGTTAAAGGAAGGAAAGATGGGGGTACGACACAGGGGCTCAGCAGCGCTCGAATCACGTCCCCTTGCTCCCTAAAACACTGATGGATGCCTTGTTGGAGGAATCAGCAGTGAAGCACAGACGGGGAGTTTGGGCATCTGTTTTTAGGTGAATGTTAACGCACTGTGTCGGCTGTGTGGAGGTTGAGAAACTGCACCTGGACAGCAACAGCTTCAGCATCTTTCCTCTAAATTTCCTAATGTGGCCATAGGCTGCGACACTGAGCTGCTGGTTCTTCTTACGTGGACAATGTGAAGAGGAAAGGGAAAAAAACACTGTCTGACCTCTGCTGGACAAACTGTGACGTCTCGATCCTGTGCAGTGATGACCCTGACCACTTCTGTGCTGAAAAAGACGGTGGATGAGAACTGCTAGACCTAACCCACACCGTTCAGAGATGGCCTTAGGTAGATGGAGCTTAGCGGCAGAGCAAGCTTCCTTCTACCACCACTCCCCACACATCACCTCACCCTAACCTAATGCTGCCCAAAACTCGCTTTTTGGTTTCACTTGTGAAGGGAAACGGGTGTTGTGAGCAGACTGAAAAGGGATTGCGCTGTCCATCCATCAATGTCATCTCTGTGTTTGAACATCAGTAAAAGGTTTTGATTTAGTCCCATTCTGGGCTTCCCACAGTGACAGATCGCAGAACGTTTACATCCTTCATCTCTAACAGCGGCTCAGCATAATTAAACATTTTTCAAATAGTTTAATAATCCTTTTTTTGTTATGCTCTTTTGAGAAATTTATACTTTTTATTTGGTTTTTTGATGCTTAGTATAATGAGTTTGGCTTTTGTTAAAAGCATTGCCAACAAAATGTTAGAAAGCAGACTATAAAAAAACTCCACCACAATTAAATCTGAAACAGATTTCCACATTATAAAATAAACTGGTTAACACTTGCATGTGTCTCAACCTGTAATTTCAAATGTGTCCAAATCTATTGATCTATATTTTTTGTTTAAAGCTGATCACAATGGTTCATCAGAACAAGTTCTCATTCCAAGCATGTGCTCATCTGTGTGTTAACTTGTATTGTTCTCAGCCATAACACTGCTCATTGTAATCAAAAGTGAAAATAAAAATGATCCAACAATAGAAAAACAATGTCTACATCTAAAAGGAGATTTAGGATTTTGACTTCGTCCTCATCCACTTATTCTTTCCTCTTTTTTGAACTGTTTAGATGTTTAACTCGGTATGGGTTTTTTGGATGATTTTATTTTCTTAAAGAAGTTAAATATTGTAGCTAAACAGAGAATGACTTAAATTAATCTTTATTTCTCCAATATATCATACCAAGAAAGTTGAAAGGTTGTAAATCAACCACAATTCATTAAACTTACCTAATTGTATTTTCTCATGGTTATTCATTTTCCATAGGTACAGCTTAGTAAAATAAAAAAAGAAATAAAAACATTTATCCCCTTACATATTTCTTCATGTTTATATATTTATGCCACATTCAGCCACCAGTTTCTGTATATTTAACACATTTTAGATCTGACTCATAACAATTTTTTTGCTAAAAATCAGTTTCAAATCAAACTGACCTAATCCTATGTGGAAAAGGATTGTACTGCCCTCAATGCATTTGTGATAAGACTTTTATATGACATTGAAGACTTTGTTCATTCTTTACAAATTGCTTTAATTTAGCAACAGCTGAGCATTTTCAAACATGAACTTTCAATTTAGGGAGATGACATTGTAGCAGGAAAAAAGTATTCAACTATTCACCCTTGTTAAATAAACGGAGATCGATGGATTTCACTTAGTCTCCACTTTATTAATCATATATCTTTGCAAAGAGAGAACAGTTCATCATGCAGCCCTTGTGGCACAGTATTCAGCCCTGTTCTGCCTGAGCAGCGTTTGTTCCCCCTTACAACAATGGAAAGAAGTCGGATTCAAAACAAATTGCAAACACTTTGGTTAACAGTAACATGTTATGAATGAACCTTGAGAAAGAATCTGGTTTGTTTTGGGAAGAAGCTATCTCTGGTCTACAAACATCACGCGGAAAATTGTTTGGCCTTGCGGGTGAAAGAGACTGAGTGAAAACTTATAGTGACTAAATAGGATAAATTAATATATGTACAGTAATAAGAGAAATCTAAATTTTCCGACAACAGTCATATATCTATTTTGGATTTGAATTCATATTTTGATTAGGCCACTGGAAACCATTTATTTGAATTTTTCTGAGCAATTCAGAGGTAGAATTGCTACAGTGCTTTGGATTGTTTTCTTGCAACTTAACCCAAGTGTGCTTGTGCTAAGGTCACAAAACCAAAGCTAGAACATTTTCCTTCAGGTTTTAGAGAGATTTCACGGATCTGTCAATTATTGTCCAGTGATGCCCTAAAGGTCAGACCATCTCTCTACCAAAACCATGTTTGGTCCTCAGCATCATGCTCTCTATTTGAAAAGTTGCCTGGTTTATGAAAGATGCAACAGGACGCACACATTCCACAAAGTTAATTTCTTTATCTCGTCAGTCCACAGACTCGTCAGAGCCTGGCAAATGTTTTTAGACAAACATGAGACAGGTTGAAATATGAGTAAGGCCTTAACCGTTCTGGGATCTCCCTTACAGTGGTCAAAGTGCTTTTGGATTCAGATTGAGATTATCTGAGTGGCCAACCTGTTCCATATTTTCTCCATTTTTGGTTGATGAATCTTTCTGTGATTTGATGAACTCCCAAAGCCTAATTTTTATTAAGACCCACATTTACATACAGTAGCTGCCAGCAGATTGTGTAAAGTAGTTAGTGAAATTTATTTGACTAAAATTATAGGGTTAATCAGAGTTAATCTGTGACTTAATCAATGAATTATCACTTTAAAGCATAAGAACTGATATGTTTGAGTAGTTTTATCCGTTATCACTGAAATCCACATTTATATGCTGCTATTTGTTGTCTGTACGTTTTTTAGGTACTTTGCTCAGGCGATTTGGTTTAATTTGAATAGATTGTCTAGATTTTCCAGCTAAATTACCAACTGGTCTCAAAGTGTTTTACCAACAGAGGGCAATACTGCAGAAACTCACAAGATGGCGATACAGGACTGCTAACACGCTCATGCTTTTTATTTTATTTTATTTTTTTGCTTTACATCCTTTGGGATAAGTAAAAGTGTTTGCAAGCATCCATCAGTTGGTGGACCTCTGCATATACAGTATAGCTTGGTCACAAAGGACCATCAACATTGGAAGTATCCAAGATGTCTCTGTGTTGTAAGTACATATATATTTTTTAATAGAAATAAATACTGTTTAATTCCCAAGATAGCATTAAGCTGGAATCCTTTTATGTAAATTTCTTAGTGATAATTGACATTATTCTAACCACATTTAAATTCCATCCTCCAAAAAAATCGTTTCAGTTTAATAAGTTTAAAACTAAAAAGGAAGAGGTAAATTACAAGTTTTCTTGAGTTGGCTGCTCTTCTGATGAGGTATCATAATAAACGATGAGGGGCACCCCCCCCCCTCCTCCCTGGTGTAGTGCATCTAAAAACAACCCTGTGAATAGCTTTTCCATGCAAGTTATTCAGCAGTTAAGTTAAATAAGCCTCACAGCTACTGTCACGACCCATTATGTGGGATGTAGGCGAGACAGCTAAACACCACTTCCACACAATTTAGATGCAATAAAACACTGACAGCTTTTTTATCCACTTCATTAAGCCAGTAATTTCTTATAAAAATCTCCTGCATTAATCCTGTCGATGGTTTCCCTGCGGTTCTTTAAGCTCTCCTCCAACCTTAGCTGCCTTGCTTTGATGCTTACTCAAATAGGCGCTAATTTGAGATAAATTATGCATCTGCATGTAGCCCAACCATGCCAGGGAATATAAAGTGTGACACTCTGAAAGATGGCGAATTAAAGCAAAGTGTGGTATCTCGACAGGCTAATGGCAGATAGGTTAGGGCTGTCAGCCTGATGGTTTGTTGATCTGCAAGTCACTTCATATTCAACTAGGCGGACGGGGTCGTGTTTATGATGATTTGAAGGTCAATGCAGGGCTGTTTTTTTCAAACCTCTGTGTTGACTGCAAGAGCAAGGATGCACCTTAATGAGGCAATTCAAAAGTTTAAATGGGAAATTAATTACAAATTATTATTTTCCTTCCTTCTATGATATTGGAGATTAATAGAATAAAATAAGTGGAATTTTACCACTAATAAATAAATCACTTTTGAAAACTCATTTCCTTTTTACAACCCGGTGAGCACTTCACTGCCATAATAAAGAAGCAAAGCACCTTTAAATATGAAAATAAACTTCAGGGAATAAATCGGTAAAGTAGTTAAACTGTCTTGTTTATGCAAAATGTAATGTTGATGGCTTTGATGGCAAAAAAACTAAGACTGTCTCATAAATCAAGAATTGCACTCTGAACTTGCTGTTTAGCTTGGCTATATACCCTGAAAAGTTTTTTTTTTTTTTATGATGAACACATTTTTTGAGAAGAATAGATTTGTGACATTTGGAAGTTTTTATTTAAAATGATTTTTCATAGTATTTCTAAGGACTCCAAACCTTTTCACTCTCCTTGTGCTTCTTCAGCCAAAATAGTTTGAAATGTATCAAGATTTCCAACATTTGCAGATGAAATAATATATTTTTGTATTGATTAAATTTGATAATCTTGTGGTTAGCAGATATTAAATGATGTATTTCATCACATTTTTTGAACCCCATAGCTTTTGAAATGTAACTGTTTATCTTTAAAGAGAAAATTTGAAAAAATCACAGTCAATGATAAGTCAAAAAAATGCTAACCATATACAATGGGCTTGAAGTGATATAAAAGCATTTAGTTATTTGAAACCGAACAATTTAAAGGATTCTAAAAGTATTTTTGTTAAAAAAAAAATCAGTTTATAAAATGTGCCAAAAAATTGTAGTTTTTACAAACTGCAAGGGTTTGACCAGGTGTTAGTAAAAACTCCATGGGTATATGTTATTTTATGTAGATGGATGTGAGGCAGAACTTTGCAATATGTTAACTTTTTGTCTTTCTTTCAGTTAATAATAACTTTTATATGCAGTTGCAATTCTTTTTTTTTGAAACCAACACAAAAAGTGAATTATTGTGAAGAGCAGAAACTGATGATGATAGTAAGATCTAATTAAATGTTAAATAATAGTAATGTTTAATAATGACTTTTAAAAAGTTTGACAAATCAAAATTCGATATATGTGGTGTGCATATGTATTCAGCACTCATAGATAAAAAAAAACAACTTTCAGTGCAGCTGTAAGTGTCTTAAGGTATGCTTCCTCCAGCTTTTATACTGTAGAGAGATAAGAAAGCTAAGTCAGACTGGTTGGAGAGAGTCTTTAAATTGAAACCTTCAAGTCTTGCCAAAGAATATCAATTAGAACTGGGATATTGTAATACATTCATATTCTCTGATCTAAACCATTTCATAGTAATTTGGCATTTTTTTGCTGCCTGCAGGAAGATTTCCTCCAATCCAGTGCTGTATTTAGCCCAATCCTTCATTCCATCAGCTCAGATCGCCTTACCTATCCTTGCAGAAGAAAAGCATCCCCACAGCATCATGCTGCCACCACCAAGTTGCAAACCAAGTTTACAGTGTCTCCTCCATGATTTGCAGCATGCTGCAAAGGGAACCTTGTAGGGAGCAGAACCAACAGCTGTTCTACTGACAGGTTCTCCTGACCAAACAGTGGATCTCTGCGGTGTTATTGACAGGCTTCCAATGTGCATTTCTCATTCATACAACTGCCAGTCAGTTTAGGTGGATAGCCATATCATGTTATATTTGCAGTTGTGAGATCCTCTTTTCATTGTCAGAGCATCGAATGAAAGAACATTTTCAAAAACTAAAAAAAACCCAGCCCCATCTCTTTTTCAATTCTTGCTTTTATGCATCACATTTTGTTTATATCTGTATGTATTTCAATTCAATCCAATATACTTCATTTTTGTTTAATCAAATTTAGTTTAATTCAGTCAAATTCAAACCACTTCAATTCAATTCAAGCAGTGTGTCTTGCACAGGAGAGAAGCCTCTTAATCTAAACACTTACACACTAAACACTGTTATTCAACTATCTTCTGAAGAGGATGCTCACTGTTGT